CTCAAAAGTTGTTGGCGTCAAGAACAGAGATGGTTTCATCCGAACAACACTGCTTTCACGAGCTTCAATGCCAAGTTTTACAAGCAAACATGATTTCAAGGTTCCAAATATGTAAATAACTATTCAGTGAGAGTCAAATAGACTACAATTTTGCAGCTTGGGAATCGAAATTTGTATTTAACAATCTATTTTGTATTCATTAAATCCATTTTGATATATGTATGTAAATTGCTTATATCTTTATTTAATTTTCCAAGAGGTTTTCTTAATTTAAGTACCAACATTATAGATCTAAAAACACAATAGTAGTGGGTACAACAAAGTTAGAGAATGTACTGCACTGCAGTTGGTTAGCATTAAAAACGTCACAAATTTACTATATTGAAGGCCTTTGCGCCACCTCAAATTTAAAAATTACAAAACTTCCTATAGTTTATTGACTATTTGTAACTCTAAAATATATTATTTTCACTATAGCAAACTAATATATAAAGGTTTAGATACTTTTAAAAAATTTTAAAAATCCTATGATTTGAGTGAAATTTTGAAATTTCAAGTGTAATGCGCTAGCTGGAGGTTAGGTATAGATTTTTTTTCTTTGTTGCATTTTGATAACCCATCATAGAGACAAGTTTTTTTCGGTATAGCATTAAGAAAAAAAAATAATTTTTTTTTTCAGCCCACCCTATTACACACGACTTGGTGCTGCTGAGAAACTGGTGTGTAAAAAATCACATGGAAATAAATGTCAGTAAAACAAAATATATCAACTTTGATTTTTCAGGTTTTAAGTTCTTATCTCCAATAAAATACCATGCGCATGAATGCAATGCTACTATATGCGATTGCCGGTATTGAACAAGTAGCTAGTTTCAAATATCTTGGCGTCACATTAGACGAAAAAATGAACTGGGATATACACATTAACAACCTCCATAACACAATCAGATCAACAGTGAGAACTTTTTACTATTTACGAAATTTTTGCAATACTTCACTTTTGAGAACTTTATATTTTGCCTTGATTAACTCTAAATTACAGTACGGCATAATCTGTTGGGGAAGTGCTTTCAAATATTTAATAGATCGGTTGAGAGTCACTCAAAACTTTTTTACACGCATAATACTGAAGAAAAATGTTAGGGAGAGTTCATCTCCACTCTACAAGGAATTAAAATTATTACCTATACAACATTTATTTATTTATAAAGTATTAAGGGTTTTTTACGTAAGAAGTGGCAATAAAAACATCGAATACAGACATTATGGAACGAGAAGTACTACACAAGGGATTTTTAAATTGCCAAAAGTAAATAAAATATTATTTAGAAGGTCATTGTTGTATCTAGGTCCGAAACTTTTCAACCAATTACCAACAGACATAAAGCAGTTAAATTCAAAGAAAACCTTTTTTCAACAGGCTTTTAAATGGTTATTAGAGAAAGACGATGTTAGTCAGATGAGCTCTGTACTCATTTAGGTGTAAGTGTGAATGAGAAGTATAACTGTGAAATAAATGAGTAGTGTGAGTGAATTAGCTATGCATCCGAATCCAGATGTACCACGGGGACAGTGCATTGACGGCCCTAGGATACCCTGGGGCTACCAGCCGCCCGTTGGTCACGGAGAGGGTTTGTAGCATAGCCGATTATAACATGACCCTTGGTTAGATAGCAGTAAGACAGGTAATGGTAATAAAGAGTGAGTGAGAGAGTGAGTGAGTGAGTGAGTGAGTGAACGAATGTGTGTGTGTGCGCCTACAAATGTAGTAGATAGTGTTATCGGTTGGCCTCATCCTTGTTGCACACTTCATTATTTAGATTGGGAATGCGAGGGTAGGGATAGAAACAAAATTTTGGAAATAGCATGATGCTTGATGTTGTCCATGAAAATACCTCATCTAAATGTAATTTTAATTTGAATTTGAATTAAGTATTGTTTTCTTTGATTTTTTAGTTTAAGTATTTAGCTTTATTAAGAAAAGGATTGTCAAACATCACAGAGAGCAGGTGTCATTTTTTATGTTGAGCTAGGCTGATTCAATGTTTATTTTTAGATTATTATAATTTATTTTACTGACCACACAACTTGTTAAAGTGGTCAGTTATATTTCCAATATTACAAATGTTCATACATTGTTAATTTTTGATGGAAATAAAATCATTTATTCATTTATTCATTTATTCATCTTTAGTTGTATTAGTTAAAATAGCATACATACCTCTTATACTTTCCCATTTAAATAAATTTGCAGTTAGTAGGGTTTAGCAGATTGTAAGTCTAAGTACTGTAAAATTTTCCACATAAAATTTTCCGCCAGTTAAAGAAGCACACGAAAAGAGCTATGTAGCTGGGTTTTCTCATTCATCAGTATATCTAGATCTGCATTAAACTTTCCAATGTTGGTTGTGTAAACAAATATTTAGGATTGCTGTAATTATTATTTAATCCCTGCCAAATGAGAATCTCTATTTATAACTATTACTTACAAACCAAAATGTATGGTAAAACTAACAGTATTCTGTTTGAACTGTTTCAATAAATAGTTTAGACTCCCACAATGGTTATCCTAAAAAGAACCTGCTCTAGTTTTTGGCATTGGCTGTTATGTTTGTGAAAATATTTAGCTATAGAAGTTGATTTCATTTTAATGTTTATAAATTAAGCTGAGTTTTAATATTCAGTGTATCCTAAGGATATATTTTTTATCTCATTACCTTGAAGATTGTTGCATTACTACTAAGAAATTTTATACTTAAAAAGTCCCTTAGCTTTTTGTGTTTTAAAATAATATGGCATGTAAAAAAAACTTTAACTGTACATTGAGATAAGTTGTTTTGTAGTATTTATCTCCAGTAAAAATGTGCAGATTTACCAACTAATAACGATCCATATTTTTACTTGTTTTAGTTATCATCTAGACACTCTAGAAATTTTAACTAGAGCCATCATGTGGTGCCCGGAGCAGAATGTTATCAGGCGCCCCTCTCCCACCTAAATACACAATGAGCGATACACATGGGGTTGCGTCGCTTTCTGGGACATCCATAACAGAGACATCAATGACATAATCATTGTCCTCCACGATCGCGGCAAAATCCTGAATATATCCATTGGTAACGGAAATATAGCCATTGACCTCCCCAATGACCTTGAATTGCGACAAAATCATGACTATCCTGCGGTGTGTAGACATCATTATCGTCTTCTACGATCTTGGCAAAATCCTTAATATCTCCCGCAGTAACGAAAATATAATCATCATTCTCCACAATCCCGCACATATCTTCATCACCCCCCTCGGTCTTGGAAACATTATCATCACCTTGTGCGATCAAGGAAACTTTATTGTTGTTGATCGCGGCGAAAGTGTGATCTTTGCAGACACGTGTTGCCATAGCCATAACATTGCGATAGTAAACGCTCCGCTCGAGCTCAATTTTCTGACTTGCCGCTCAAGCTTGTAGGCTAGGCTTTACTTGTCTTGAAAATTGAGCTGCTTGCACACCTCTATGCTAGGTACATCTAACAACATTTCTTTGAAATCTTTGTACTACTTTTGCCGTGACACTTGCGGCGTCCCCCAAAGCCGCCGCCTGGGGCAGTTGCCCCCCCTAAGCGACGACCCTGTTTTTTACCCTAATGATTTAGGCTAGTATTTTAATGCAATATTTTACCGCTGTAGTCTAAAGAGTCAATATTAACTGTGCTAATACAGATAAGTAACATTCATTTAAAAACATTCAAAACGTTGAAGGAGTTAATTTGAATCACAAAGTTTACAATGTTCACAAAACTATTTATAGCTAGGGCATTAATGTCACCAAACATTGCTAGAGGATTCCCAAAACATCATTCAATCTAGTCGATGGACTTTGACAGTGCATAGGTTTATGTTGATAGAATTAAAAGAATTGCCATTTGGCTTTTGGACCTTTATCAGCTGTTCATGTTTATTATATTAATGTCCTATAAATAAGGTTTACTGAATGAACTGAAATCAAATGGTTACGATATAAAGATGCAAGTTTAGATTTAGGACAAAGACAATTATTTTACGGAAGGGAATCATATTTGCAAACCAAAAACAATAACATATCATATCGCTACTAAAACCATCATGCAAAAACCGTGATGGAATATTTTGTATACACTCCAAATAATTAACAGTTTTCTGTATTATGTGCTTGTTGAATTACTTAAATCCACAAAATATAAATGTCATAGTTGTTCTAATTTAATGTGTTGAGGTATAATAATGCTGTATAGTAATAGGCCAGTCAAATAAGAATTTTTCGAAGAATTAATTCCCAGCAAGCTGGAAATAGTTTTAATACCTTCATTTGGTCCCAAATAAGTGTAATCTGAGTGAGCTTAAATTATGGCAGTAATAAGATATGGATAGTATTTAGAACACCTAATTTTATGATTTGATAAAAAACTAGGTTTGAACTAGGTCTTTTATAAGTTTACTTGTGTACATTTGAAAGATGTATTGATAGGAAAAGAGAGATTTCGATTTCAATTCCTCAATCGATTAAACTCCACCTGCCTGATGACTTTTTCTGATACAGCATTTAATTTCAAAACACGATCTTTCTGTTTATTTGTTTATTTTTATTTTACTAAAAGGATGTATGTCTAAATAAGTGTTCTATGTGACCTCAAACAAATTCTAGAATTACGGGGCTTAAACTATTTCAATTAAGGAAATTTCAATTACAATTTTAATATATTTTCTCAACTCGTTTACTCATAGCAAGTACAAATGTTTAGAACAGTTTCATAGCACACACTATCCTACGGGTAGCATAAACAGTCTTAGTATTGTTTAAAACACTCAGGGTCGAGTTAGCTGGTCGCATGCCAGATGAGGCCCAAAGGTCTGGCTACCTACATACCATCTGACAACCTCAGGGGCATTTCATTGTAGAACAGGGTGAAGGATCAGGTGGGGAGGGGAGGGGCAAAACCATGACACAGTGGCTACCCGACTTTACCTTGAACAATTGTACTCCGATTACTGCAAACATGAACTGTAGTAGACACGTAACCAGGACAATGTTGCCAATTGTTTTTACCGCCACTATCACACACTGCACTACATGCTAAACATTACATCCAGAAAGTCAACATTAATTTCAACTTGTATGAAAGATTATAAATACTTTAGTTCAAGTTGAGTGGGTAGGCCTCGAATGAGTTTAAAATTGGGTCAGTTTCTAGAACTTAAATTTTTATTGAAAATATGGCAAAATGGCAAACTTAAAGACGTTGAAAACTTTTAAAATACCATTTGTTTACATTTCAGTAAAACGCGGAAACCTAAATTGAAGACGATTGGAAAATAGCACAGCTGATTCCATTGAAGAAATATTAAATTAATTTTAATGTATGATTTAAATTAAATTGTTGTGGTTCTTAATGAAGAGTACTAAAAGTTTGTTAAAATATTAATATTAAATTCAAGCCTAAACATCCATTTATTGTTTATGACATAGAGACAAAAATCTACCATTATTCATGTTAATACTCACTGTTACTTAGTTCAATGGATGTGTACAATCAACATGTTAAACACCGAGTTATGTATGTACAGAAATATTTATTTTCAGAAGGAAACAACCTGTTAAATTGGCTACTTAACTGTAAGATTTTGAGCTACACTTCCATACCTTGCTGTCTTTTGAACATTTAAAAACTCTAGGGAATTCAACAGTGTACCTTTTGATGGACATGAAATACAAACTTGCAAATTCATTTGTACTCAAGTGTCATCAAAATAATTTTTAACTGGTTGATACGTAACCTGTAAATTATGAAGAATTTAGAGTGACCATCAAGCAATTTTGTATAACTAAAATATAAATAACTTCTTGATCAGCATTGAGTGGACCAACTAAAATATGAAATCTTCAATATTTTGGAAAAGCAGTAGAGTTATTATGTGCAGGTAAATTACTAATGTTGACTTTCTTTAAATGTTCTAGATAAGAAATAAAATACTCGAGGATACAAGATATTCAATCAGTACATTTCTATGAGTACCTACTTATCGCAATAAGCTATTATTAATAATTTTGTTCAATGATCAGAAATGCCAATATGATTTAAAGTTGAAAGATAATTTTTGTTAATCACTATGTTGATTACAATCCAAATTAGACAAATACTTCAATACAAACAAAAAAAATATCAAAACACTATTATTCGTTTAATTCAGCAAAAATTTAATCTTGTGTAATTTAAAGATGCATTTTATTTTTTTGTGTTTATTTAATTAATTTTTTTATTAGAAATGTACTGAAGGAAAATTGGTAAAATATATATCCTTGAAATGCATATACTACATAATCATCATATATCAATAAAGTAAAGAGCACAGTACCAGTCAAGAAAATAGATAAACTTAGAAAAGAAGAAGTGAGTGTAAAATTGGAAAATACATATTGAATGTTGTATAGTAGTACATTTCTTCTATACATATAGAGTATTATATTTTCAAGCATAACTTATAGTTATTATTTTTAAGTATCGAATAATTTAAGAAAAGGAAAAATATTCTTTCCTTAGGCCTTAAGCTAAAGAATGACACATTTGCAATAGGTAGTTAACAATAGTAGTCATGAAAATTATTTTAGGTATTGAGAATTACTAAAGTTAAGAGATTCATTTGATGAGGGGTGTGCGAAGCTTAAACTTTGAGCTTTTTCAAGCAATAATAATCATTGACATCAACAGATATAAATTTAGTGTTGTATATAAATAACAAGTAGTACAACATTGAAAATTAAGAGGAAAACACAATTTATTCTAAAATACTGATAGTTTACCTTTCTGTTATCTTAAACATATCAGTTTCCATGAGTAAAATGTGTTTATAACGTTTAGCTGAACATTCTATAAATGAGCCTAGGTAATTGTCACTGAAAATATGTTTTGAGAAATAAATATATATTTGTTTGTACGTCATATTTTGTGATAAAATTTTAATCATACAGTAGTAATAAACCACTCAACTTGAAAAAGCTCAAAACTCAAAGTTAGAAAAAAGTTTGGCTCAGTTTAAAAAAAAATCTATTCGCACATCCATTTTTTCATGAGTTGTGTAGTTAGAAATAAGTTGTGTAAGTATGAAATGATGTCTTACCTTCAGTCCTTTAGCTCTATTAATAGCCCTTAGAGGTCTTAACACCCTCAGGACCCTAAGAATTTTCACTACTGAGATAGCACCTGATCTGTAACAATGAAGCCATATTTAAACATTTCAACCGATCCAGGGCTAAACTAAATGAAGGGCTGGACCTGAATTATGTTTTGCCAAAATTCAACAACTAAAGTGGTTATGTTTTGTATTTATTTTGCTTGAAATCATTCATAGATAATAAAAATATTTTCCTTAGCGCTGAACTAATTTTTGTAAAAAAAAAACAAAAGTTATGAAGAAAATATAATTTGATTTGACGGATACATCTGTCTTATGCCTTATTCTTGTGGGCAGCAGACGGGTATATCCGTCAACCTTAGGCTATTCCTTCCCTTGTTTTTATTTTTATCCATAAAAATAAAATAGCTGTGGCAATTATTATTGTCAACCACAAAAACACAAAATATCCCATTTATAATGCAGTATAATGTTTGTTTTCCTATTATAAACAATGTCTATAAATTTGTTCTTTGGATGGATATATCCATCTTTAGTTAAAGAAATTTATTAGGACGGATATCCTAATACTTTCGTTTATACTTTCGTTTCGAATACTTTCGTTTTCAGCCCGAAAGTAAATGAAGATTGACGCATATATCCGTCCATCACCCTGGAAGGGTTAAAAGACCAAACGATAAATTTATATGCATAATAAGTAAATACAATGGATAGAAACGTTATGTGTTTTGATAGCCTTGTGGGCACAACCAAAACATGTAAACTGTATTTTCCATTTTGTTAACCTTCAACTTACTTTGCTTTACAACACTCATGCACTGGTGAGGTCCACGTGGACGGGTAAATTCAAGGTAAAAAAAGGCTGCCAATATTTAAAAAACTAAAAAAGTTTTATAAAAATACGAGGGCTGATTTTAAGTAAGAGCTGGTTTTGTGTATAAATCTGTTGAGCGCTTGTATGCTGCAACAAGGCTCATCACCATTTACTGGCATCATTTGTGAACAGAATGACACAAATTTCAGCTTTGTAGCTGTCATATATGCTTCACTGTGTGTTTTTAAATTCTCTTAAACAATCAAATCTCCCGCCGCGTCTGAGGTAAGGTCAGTGATACCTTTTTATTACAAGAAACATATCCGATGCTGGCATTAATAAAACTGTAAGACCCTGAATTTTAGAAAAAACTGTAACATCAAAACATAAACAATCATAATAAAATAATGATCAGCTGGTATAGCAATCCTCCCCCTTTATTTTTCTTCATATATTTACAATCTTCTTATTTGGTCCACGTGTCTTTTCCACACAATTCCGTCTTCCATTCTAACAAGATAAATAACATTTCCTATTTGTTTCTCAATTTTTCCAACTGTCCATTTGTCATTTGAATTAAGGGAGTAGTTCCTCACCAGCACCCCCTCTCCTATATTAAAGTGTCGCTTTGTTACTTGCATCTCTGTCTCTTTCAAATTAGGCTTCTCTACTAATAGATCCAGTTCTGTTCTTATATTCCTCCCAAACATGAGGCTATAGGGAGACTTCCCAGTCGTGGAATGCTGTGTTTTTCTCAACTGTTTTAGTATAGTGTTAATCTTGCTCTCGACACATCCATTTGCAATTATAAGGCTCTTCACAGTTTGGACCACCCTTTCAGCTTGTCCATTTGATTTGGGACAAAAGGGAGCGATGGTTTTTTGTAGTATTCCATACCTCATGAGAAAATCTTTAAATGGTTTTGAAGTTAATTGAGTCCCATTGTCTGATACCAGTACATGAGGAAGCCCGAAGGTTGTAAATAACCTATCTAATTGTTTAACACACCAAGCTGTAGTTGTAGACTTTGTAGGTATAATTTCTACCCACTTACTGTAGGCGTCAACGACGATTAAGTACCACCAACCCCGCAGTGGACCAGCAAAATCAATATGTATGCGTTCCCAAGGTCCGTTCGGGAGCTCCCATGGGTGTGTTGTCTCCTTAGGTGGATTTTTCAATTTTTGTTGACATGAATGACAATGTTTCACCATAGCTTCAATTTCTTGATCCATATTTCTCCAATAACAGTAGCTTCTTGCTAGCAATTTCATTTTTGTCATGCCCATATGACCAGCATGTAATTCTTCCAAGACTTGTTTGTGTAAAGTGGAAGGTACACAAATTCTATGACCTCTGAATATACAACCATCTTGTAAGCAAAACTCATTATCGTTCAAACCAATTTCTTTTAAGCTTTTTCCTGATGTAAGATGTTCGTATACCTTTTTGAGGTCCTCATCCTTTTTGGGTTTCTTCTTCAATTAGTCTTCTTGATACAGGCATCATCTCTACTTGATTCATTAGATATTGCTCATGATCGTCACATACATTTGATACTTCTGTAACAGGAAATCTTGATAAATAATCCACATTAGCATGTTGTGTTGTACTTCGGTATTCAATCGTATAGTCAAAACCCGATAAGAAATGAGCATAGTTAAAAATCCTCGATGCAGTCATAGATGGTAAGGTCTTTGTTGGGTTGAAGATGGATACAAGGGGTTTGTGGTCTGTTATTAAGACAAACTTCCTTCCATAACAGTATGCAAAGAATTTCTTCAAGCCCCAGTAAATTCCTACAGCTTCTTTATCTATCTGACTGTACTTGCGTTCTGTTCTTGTAAGCGATCTTGATGCAAATGCAATGGGCCTCTCAGATCCATCTTTGTACCTATGTGATAAGCAAGCCCCTAGCCCTGTGGGACTTGCATCTGTTGCTAGGATTAACGTTTCATTTGGGTCATAGTGAGCTAGGGTTTGATCACTTGTTATTTCTGCTTTTACTTTCAGAAATGCATCTTCACAATCTTGAGTCCATATGAATTTTTTTCCTTGCCGTAACAAACCATTCAGTGGTTCCAGTAAACTGGACATGTTTGGTACAAAACGTGTGTAATAGTTGGCTAGACCTAAAAATACTCTTAGCTGATGTACATCATCTGGTCGTTTGGCTTTAGTTATAGCTTTGACATTATCAGCAGATTTGTGTAAGCCATTTTTGTCTATGACGTGTCCTAAATACTTAACACTTTTCTGGAAAAATTTACATTTTTCATGATTTAAACGCAAATTAAACTGTCTGATTCTTTCAAAAACTTTCTCTAGGCGATCCAAAGTTTCTGAAATAGTACTTCCCTGTACCAAAATATCATCAAAAAAACAAACTGTACCTTTCAAACCGTGGAGAACTTTATCCATAAACCGTTGCCAAATACTCGGTGCAACTTTTATGCCAAACATCATTCGATTTACTCTATAAAGTCCCAAATGAGTACTTATCGTCTGTATTTCTTTAGACTCATCATCCATCGGAAGGTGAAGATAAGCATTACTAATGTCCAATGTGCAGAAATATCGACCTTTATTCATGTTAGTGAAAATATCTTCAATTCGTGGGATTGGGTATTTGTCATCACATATAAGTTTGTTTGCCGTCACTTTGTAGTCAGCGCAAATTCTTACGTTTCCATTTGCCTTTCTTACTGGAACAATGGGAGTTCCCCATTTCGAACTTTCAACTTTTGATATTATTCCATTGCTTTCAAGTCTATTGAGTTCTTCTTCAACTGATTTCTTCAATTCGTAAGGAACTTGTCGAGGTTTGATAAAAATAGGTCTAGCTCCTTCTTTTAACTCTATGTGTCCTTGTTCTGATGTAATTTTTCCGATTTCGGGTCTGAAAATTTCTTGAAAATCTGTTAATAATTTGTCCAATTTTTCTGAACAATCACTCTCAACTACTTTGATATCTGCCCAATCCATGTTTACTTCTCTCAGCCACTCCCTTCCAAATATTGGCTCTACTTTTTGTCTCAGGACGTACAATTTTCCGTAGAAATTAAAATCTCTGTATTTGCACTCGACAAAACAAACTCCAAGAGGCTTAATGATTTCACCAGTATAAGTTTTCATCTCAACTGCAGTTTTGAAAAGACGTTTATTTACATGTAGTGATTGAAAATCACTGTTAGATATTGAGCTTAACGCTGCGCCTGTATCAAGTTCCATTTTCAGTCTCTTTCCCTCAATATCCACATCTATTAAAAACTTATCACTTCCAGGTGAATTTGACGCCATTGTATAAATCTCGTGGACCGACGAATGGTTGTCCTCTACATCAATTAAGTTTGATTTCAGTTCCTTGTTCTTCCCAGTTTTGACTTCAGTTCTACAGCTAGATAAGCAAACTCTTGAAATATGTCCAATCTTATTACATTTTCTACAGAATTCATTCTTAAATCTGCAAAAATTAGCCTTATGCCGTTCACTGCCACACCTGTAACACTTTCCTTTCAAATTTTCAAAAGAAACTATGGTTTTGTTTCCCTTGAATGCACTTTGTTTGTCTTGGTAACCAGCTTGCAGTCGGTTAATGTTAAGTGTGTCTTTTAGAATTGAATCTTGATTTTTCAAATTAATTTCATAACTTTCCGATTTAGATTGTTCTATGGAAATCGCAGTTTGCACCACTTTGTTGTAAGAAATTTTGCTATCTTTTCCTTGAAGAAGTCTAATCCTGATTTCATTGTCTCTTAGCCCCCGTATGAACTGCATTTTTAAAAACATATCACTTACCGTACTTTCACAGTTATAACAGTAAAAATCACAGTCAGTTGCTAAACGTTTCAGTTCTCTGGCATATACAGCTATGTTCTCTCCAGGTTCTTGAACTTTGCAAACAAATTTATGTTGGTTAGCTAGTATGCTAGGTGAAGGCTCAAGACAATTTCTTAAGGATTCGGTGAGTTCATTGAATGTTTTGTCGCCTGGTAACTCAGGAGCTATTGAATCACACAATGTTTGGTGCATTTCTGGAATAAGTGTACTGATAAACAAACATGTTTTAGTCTTTTCATCTGTAATTTTCTTTAACTGAAAATAGCTTTCAAGTCTCATCAAGAAATTTTTAAATGTTTCATTCTCTGTGTAGGGTGTAAAGTTTATGTTGGGTACATGGCTATTGTGTTCAACTGACATAGAAGTTTCGTGTTCATCTGTAATTTTGTTCTGTGTAAAGAATGGCTGTAGTAATGCTCTTATCTCTAAATATACCTCTTCTACATCAGCTCTGTAGTCTTGTTCTTTTTATAAATCATTTTCATCTACTATCTTCAAAACATCTTCATGTAGTAGCATGAATTTATGCCATGCTTCCTCTGCAACAGTCAATCTGCCAGGAGCATCATAGACTGATGAACCCCTGCTTCTTAAAAGGTGTAGAGTTCTTTTGATTTGTCCTTTAAGTGCTCCCCTTTGATGCTTTAATCTTCTGATATCATTTCTTTCATCACTCGTCGCCATTTGTTGTGTTTTAAATAAAGAATAGATTTGAATAACTTAATGAACTCATTTTATTAAGATGTAAACAGAAAACTAAAACTGTAAAATCAAAACATAAACAATCATAAATAAAATAATGATCAGCTGGTATAGCACATGAGAATCAAGATAAGCTTAAAATCTTTTAATCAAGCTGATCAGGGAACAAATATCTTTACGCCACACTACACTATTTTGACCACTACACTATTTTGACGAACTTCCCACACAAGGATCAGCAAGTCAAGAAAACAGCTGTCAAGAAAACAGCAATCAAATGGGGTTTCATTACTTACTACTGTACTGTAATGAGTTTTACCGGACACCAACCAGCTGATTATACTGTATTTGGCGATGAGTGGTTATAAACAAAAACATAACCTCTCAGAGGTTATGATTAGTGATTTTTGTCCTTTAGTTGGTGGTAATATATAAGGATTAGTACAGATTTAGTAGTTTGGCGTAAACTTATCGTACGTCACTCGTCCAAAGTGTGTTTACCGGACTCATATGGTAATCCCGTACTCGACTTCTTCTTGCTCGGAAACGACCACACTCATCCGGTAAACACTTATTTTCAGGACTAGTAAGGTAATATACTATTAAAATGAGGTATCACTTGACCTACCTTTATATTTGAAAATTGTCCAAAAACTACCATTTAGATGCGTTTGAGAGATTTCAAAGTGTATACTTTGTATACTTCTCAAAGACTCTGAGGAAAGTGTATTGACGTAGAAAATGTGTTTAGGTAGTTTGTAGAAGGTCGTACACATTTGCTCACTAAGACCAGCAGCGGGTGTTCACCAGTTTCCATTGATACAATGATTGAATTTGAGGAAACTTTGCTTGGCGATCGGCGTGTTAGAAGCTTCCAGGGCTTACCATAGTCCTGGATAGTTTTATAGAGATGTTCTTTATTAGTTTGCCAGCCTCTCTCATTCAGGCACACCGTGATCTGCATGTCAAATTTGTATAACTTTGGTTACAGCTTCAACAGGTACTCAATGGAAACCTTGATTTATGGATAGCCCTAGTATTTTTAATACATTCTCAGGATACTTAATTATTAAATATTAATAATATATAGTTCTTTATGAATATAGATAGATAATAAATTAAGCATTAATCCAAAATTATAGAAGGATATAAGGTATTTTCCCCTGAGTACTTAACATCTTTATCTTACATCATACATCTAAACTCATACACATACACACTCATTAATATGCATTCTATACTAAAATGATCAGTGTGTTCTAACATTTTACAACTATTATCTAAATGCTTAACAACATAGGGAAAAGAATGCCCACGATTATTCATATCGGTCATATAATATCAGATAACAAAATTTGTTATACACAACAACTAACTATTTTTGCATGTATATGTCTTACAAAGTAATAAAATCAGATCGGTAGTCTGAATATGATTTCTGATCTACTAGTAAGAACGTGAAACATTCATTCCACTATGTTGTTAGACAAAGATAATAAAGCTAAACTTACTTCCAGAAAACAGAGACTAAAGAAACACAAACAACTAAGAGATCAAGAAGATTAAATGCTGAACGGCAAAATGCCCCATCGTGTAGAACAAAGCCGTAGGAAATTATTTTCAAACATATTTCAAAAGTGAAAATTGATGTGAAGAAATAGTCACAGTAACCAAGTATCTGAAACAAAAAAAAAGGGATTTCAACCATAAAACTTTAGCCGAGTTATACCTGTAAATATATAATTTCTCCCATTTTTATCTCACTACCAATGTCTATGTTTACACCTTTGGTTTTGTTGGGCATAGTAATTTGACATATATTTTCTGTTCAAAGAATGAAAATAGGAGTTACCTACAGGGTCAGACTGGGATCCCTAATAGGGTGCTATGTTTCGCTTAGTAAATATCTAAGAGAGGGCAATCAGGTGGTGCTAGCCCTCCGGGAGGTCTGGGGGGGTACGGAATACACCCAGGGAGAGAGGGGTCCTGCCCTGGAAAATTTAGAAAAATTAAGTCTGAAAAACATCTTTTTGAGCAGTTTTCTTGCCAGGAAAATGTGTGATTTACTTGTTCATTTATTGCTGAATATTTATAGGTGTTGTTACTTCTGTACCTATCTGTTCAAATCAAGGAGAGGGTGGGATTTTATCATTATTTGCAGAATGGTTTGCTTTAATCTTTAATTTATATTTTATTGAACTGTCAACATGGTAAAACAAGTTATGGTAAAAATAATGATTTTTCTTTTCCTTGTAGTTAATATCTAGACAAAAATATATTTTCAAAACATTTGTTTGGATATAATTTTGACAATCTGCATGGGGCTGGATGGGGATAGGCTGTGGAGTGGTGAGGGTTCCCACCGACCCCTACAAATCCACCCAGCCCCCTCCCCCACATTAGAATGTAGAGAGTGGGAAAAATGTAAAAAAATAAAAGTCAAGAGTCAATGGAATGACTACGTCCCTGCCCCACCGCTCTCGGCACTCGGCGAGAGGGAAGGGTCGCGGTATTCAGTGTTTATCACATCCCCACATGCCCTTAGAGTGAGGTGACATTACATTTTATTACACAAATATTAACACCAATACAAAGTAGGTAGTTAACTGTTCAAAGGTTTTCTTCAAAAGATGCCCATTACTCCTGCCAAATTCTATATCTAGTCAGGAAGTAAATTTCCAGGGAGGTAAAATTCAGCATTAGCTACTCGGATAATTTTACGAGGGGCATGAAATTCCGGGTTGTACATGTATAGTTTTCTTAAATGTTAATTATATGAGCAGGGGAAACAATTCTGACTTTGATTTAAAGTCAAAATGATCACGCTCTGTCTGTTTTCAGATGGTTTCTATCTCAGTTCGGGAAAATAATTGTAAATATAATGTGTTCTGTGTTCGGTATAAACTTTAAGTGTATTTAACAAATCGTTCTACGAGGATTGACCTGATGATGTGACCTTTGTCACGAAACCGGTCGTCATCCAACAAAATCAAAGGATATTGAACAGGTAACAGTTTATTTAATAATTTAAATCTTCAATATCCAGAAGTAGGTTAATGAACTCTAAATTAAAATGGTTCTTATGTCTAGTATTATGATAATGAATACTACTGTGAAGATCTAATTCATTATATTTATATATAACACGCATTATACATTCAAGGTTATATTCGTCATAAACCGTCAACATGTTTAGCTCATAAAATTTATTTTTTACTGATATTTGTTCTTCTAGATTTAATATAATTCTCAAAGCTTCTTTCTGACAAATCAAGATTGTATCTAAGTTGTGTTTACTTGTACCACCATAAACTACTAAACCATAACATAATGTGAGAGTGGATATGTCAAGACTACATAACAACGACATTTCTCTTAGAACATAAAGACCCGATGCAATTTTGTTAGCCAATTTTAGTACATGTTGGTCTCAACTGAGATTATTGTCAACGTCAACCTCAACTCCTAAAGATTTGGTATTTAAAGAAGTGTTATAAATACCAAAAGCTTTTAATTTGTGTAGAACTTGTCAGTCATATTGTTGTAGTTATGTTAGGTTATAATAAATAACTGTAAGTAATGGTTTTGTGACTATGTTCATAGTTCCCAACATTAATATAGGCTACCTAAAAGAAAAAAGTATTTTACCTCATTTCGAGTTGAGTTTGCATGAATAGGATCTTCTGCTGCTAGGAGAGCAGATGATACCATAATACATACTAAGATGACGTTTCCAAAATGACTGTGATTGCAGAACCAATGACAGAATACTCTTATCCTGAAAAATCAACTTCGTTTTATTACAGCTTATTGCATACCATAAAAAGTTTATTCTTTATTTAATTCTCTAAACAGAAAAGTTACCAGTATTAATGTTACACTTAACTCTAGGCATATTTTAAATATTTAAATTCCAAGGCACACTTAAACTTCTTTAGTTTTTTAATTTTTAGATTCATAGGCCTACATATTTCCTTTTGTTTATTAACTTTGTTTTAACAAATATACAGGGTGACAAAGAGTCTGGAAACGGCTTAATATGTTTTTAACTAAATCCAATAGAAAATTCAAACCTTTCACATCAACCTACATGTATGAAAACTACTTTTTCCAAGTATTATCATTTTTTTACCTCTACCAGGGGTCGACCCATGAGGAGTAGGTACATAATGTTTAAAGTAAGCATAGGTTGAAATGCACATCATTTTAAAGGGTTAGTCAAGTTGAGTTCATTGCTGAAACCGCGTCTCAAAAGGTTCATCCATTACAAAATGGCGGCTGTTCAAAGTTCTTGTGGAATATACCTGCACAGGCCTTAGTATTGGTAAATAAATAATCGTATTAAACATAGCTTGAGAGCTGAAATTGTATTCTAAAGTCAACTAGCTCATAGACTAAGTTTATTCAATCTTCAAAACAAATTTAACCAGGTTTCAGATTTTCCGGCTAATGTTAACTAATAACTATGAGTATTTACCAATACTAAGGCCTGTGCAGGAATAATCCGCAAGAACTTTGGACTGCTGCCATTTTGTAACGGATGAACATTTTTTGACGCGGTTTCAGGCAATGAACTCCACTTGACCAGACCTTTAAAATGATGTGCTTATCAACCTATGCTTACTTTAAAGATTATGTACCTCTCCTCATGGGCCGTCCCCTGGCGAAGGTAAAAAATTGGCAATGCTTGCAAAAAGTAGTTTTCATAGGTTGATGTGAAGAGTGAAAGGTTTGAACTTTCTAACGAATTTAGTTAAAAAGATATCAAGCTGTTTGCAGACTTTTTTGTCACCCTGTATAACATTTATGTATTAATTATAAAGAACAAGAGATTCTTTAAGAATAACTAATCCGCAATTGCCAAGTAAATAAATGAAAGCCACTGATCCAAATGCATTTGTCTAAATGAAAACAACAAACTCTATTAGAAGACCCCAGGGGAAAAAGAGGGTAAGTCCACTATTTTGCGTTTTTGAGTTAAGGATGAAAAACGGTTCTTTGTTGTTGAAATTTTCACATGGTAAACTCAAAAGGGGAAGAAGAAGGTTAGTACGGCTGTAATTTACATTGGAAGATATGGGGGTGTGGGGAAGAAGGAGGCAAGTCCAGTACGTAGTGGGGAAGAAAGAGGCAAGTCTCTACTTGTTGCTTATAGAACGAGTGACTCACCGCCTGACTGCCAAGCCAGTACCCACTTGTTTGTCAGTGAGACTAGACGCTTGTCAGTGAATAACCTATTTTGGCGTATGAATGTGTGGATTCGACCTAATTTTGCGCAATATAGTGGGTTTAACAGTGCAGTGTTAGGTTAGAAAATGTCGGATAGTGATCAGAATGTTGATGAGTGTGTCAGTTTTCCTAAGAAAAGAAAACGTTTCGGTCGAGTAAGTGATGCTAGTAAGAAGATTAGGGCTCAATCTCATGAGTTAGGAGAGGACTGTTCTTGCTATAAACGATGTTTTGATAATTTGTCTTTAGATGAAAGAAACGGGTTGATCGCTAAATTTAATGAGCTCGGGGAGTGGAAAAAGCAAACAGACCATTTAGCTGGACTGATTAGTATACAATTAATTAAGCATAGGAAACCCAGAAAGCCTATGAACGAGGCTAATTTGAGGAAAGCCATGTATGGCTATAAAGTGAGATTAACCCGTAATGGCAATCCACTTGACATTGTTGTATGTCAAAAGGCTTTTCGCTCCGTCCACGGTATATAAAAAAAAAAGATTAGAAAATATTCAAAAGGCTTTGACAGATACCGGTATGGCACCCAATGATATGCGTGGTAAACACGAAAATCGACCGCACAAACTTTCGACTGAAACCATAACTTGACCTCCAGACATTGGCGAAGTTTTGCAGTGAAGAGTCCCAGAATTTCTACAAGGAGCTTCAAGTAAAGCAGTAACGATGACACAAGTAAGTCCGTAATGAAGTAGGCTATATTGTTAAATATAAATCCAAATAAAATTGAGTCGTTTTCAAAATCGGTTACTGATTTATTATACAATTTTGAGCAATGAGGCAGTAATTTTATTTATTTTTTTCAGGTGGCGGTACCTTTTAAGAATGTTCGTGAATGAAGAAAAAATACACCTAAATTAAAATGAAAAAAAACTGTATGTTTAGATTTCTTAATATTGTTTTTATAATATTTCAACAATTATTAAACTACTTGACTTTTTGAACTTACAGTATTGTTTAATTTTGATACCTCTTTCTTCCCCTGGTTTTGGGTGACTTGCCTCCTTTTTCCCCCAAAAAAGTGGTGGTTAGGTCAAAAAAATATTATTAAAACATAATAATTATAAAAGTCAATATAACGGTATAAGTAGATATCATAACAAACATATATCTTAAATTAACAGTATATTTGCCTTTTATATAAAGCGAATATTGAATTCTGTATAGGGTTTGAAACTTAAGATTGCGCGCCCTGAAAAGTTTGCAAAAGTGGACTTGCCCCCTTTTTCCCCTGGGGTCTTCGGTACTGTAACAATACAGCAATTCTTATAATGAACATATCCAACCCCATTTTATGACTGTAGTTGCAAATCCAACATTTCCTTGTTAAGTTGTACATTTACACTGCTTCCTTTGACGAAATTCATCTTCTTTAGCTGTTGATGATGCATTAAGATCATATGACCATTTTAGATGAATGATGATTTTAGATGATTTATCTTGCTTTGAATTTGTGAAATCATCATCGACTCTATAGGATATGTACTGGAACCTACTTAGTGTTATCAAAATCATTTAAATTTTAAATTGTATTTGAATTGCAATAATTGGAAAAAGAAAAGAAAATATGCTGGGTTTTTGTTAATTCACAAGCATAAATACTCCTTAAATTGCAGAAACTTTAGAGAAGAAAGAAAAGAGAGAAAAAAACCACAAGTTCTAGAAGATAGAATACTAACAACAATAAGCAAATAAGAAGCAGCTAGCTAGTTACAAAGCGACTACAATATGGGTTCGCTACATCTAATTCAACCACCAACTTGTTCTTGATTCGACTTGAAGAAGAAATAACATCGAAATTTGGGGGTACTAAAATTTCTGTTGTCGAAGTGTTGTTTTCCAAATAGTGAACAAATCATTCTCAACAAAACTTAGTGAACATATTTGTTCCCATTTAAATGGTTTTACTTTTCAATCAAATTAAACCATTACATAAGTTTCAGGATTTGTCTTCTTTTTTTGTTTATGATTTAAAATATTTTTTCACTTTGATTAAATTAACTTCATAGGGAAAAAGTTATGTACCAGACTCACTTCTACGACATTTTGTTAATGATTATTTTAAGCTTTGAATTAATTGATTGGGCACTGGAAGTTAAACCTTGTAAGTACTAAGCAGTAAAAATAAACATCAATCATCTAATTTGTGCTTTGTGCCAAAGTATTGAAATATAGTATTTTATTTGGAACTAAATTTAAAATTGAAAATCCTAGAAGTAGAAGGTGCAACATAGGAAAGACAATTGAGTGTGCAAATCTAATGAGAAATACAACTAATAAGCAAAATAAGTATAGCAACTAAGCAAAAAAAAAAAAACATAGAGCAAAAAAAGTTGAAATGAGGACTAATTGAACTAAGATGAAAGAATCGATGAAGCGCTCAGAGGGGCCAAAGAATCGTCTTTTCACCTGTTGGTACTTGAAAAAATGAAGAATGAGGATGCAGGTGGTATTGGCTGTTTTTTCTCAGCCATGTTGAATTCAGAGAGTCTCCTAGGCCTTGCAGATACTCCGTCTTCTAGCTCCAAGTCTAATAACAAGCATCTGCCAATGAGATCTGTCTATAGATACAAGGAGCCGATGATCCTTGTCCAAATATAATGACACTAATCTCCAGCGCAGTAGATGATTTATACTGTGTTAATATAATGAAAAGGAGGAATAACACATAAGGAATGGCTGACATTTTGGAGTAGAATGGACTTTTAAAGCTGTTTAGCAAAAAAGGATTTTGGGTGAAGGAAATCAATAGTTATTTGTGAAATAGAATTAGTGGGAGAGGGGGGGTTTTAGTTGAGTAATAACTGATGAGAACAGTTATACATTGTAAAATTCACATTTAAATAGCATTTGCGTAGTTTTGTTTGAACACATTTTAACAATAAGCCGTGTTTTAGATTCCTTTGTTAATTAATAGATTGGTTCTTATGATGTCCAGTTTATAAAATACATTTTTGAATTTGTTGTACTTTAAAATGAAACCGCTCCTAACACAATGGATCAAATATTTTTATCAGACTCCTAAAGAGTTATAGGTAATTTAGGTTTATAAAAATTATTTTATCATAGTCATAAATTAGAGTACCTAATCTATAAATTCAACAAAGGAATCTAAAATTGCATAAAATGTGGTGCACAGCTGCTTAACCTACCTGTTTGTATGACTAAATATAAAAAAGGAGCTGCCTAAGGGAAGAGGCTTTTTTTCTGTTTTCTGGCTGGAATCAGAAAGGCGGCGAGGCAATGCCGATGCCTTGTGCAGCACTGCTTCATCTGAGATGGACCCTTCCATGCGCTTCTCTGTTAAAATAAGCAGCTCACACCACATTAACATACTAGAACAATTTCTAAACTGATACTGAAAAATTTGTGATGGATAAATTAATTGTTGGGTAGAAGAATGCAAATTGAGGTTGAGGGATCAAGGATAAAAGATAAACAATGAATAAGTTTAGTAGATCATTTCTCACGTGCTTGTCAAAAATATATTTTATATTCAGTAGAGTTTCAATAATCCAATCAGAACTGGCCATGGTAAGATCGGGTAGCATAACAAATAATGAAAACAAATTTTTCATTATTTTAACATAAAAAACATTCCAAATAAAGGTTCCAAACCTAAACATTACAAGGGAAGTAGGCCTATAGACAGTAGCGTAGCCAGGAATGAGTAAGGGGGGGGGGGTTTACATAGCAGACTGGAGGGGGGGGGGTCTGAGGGCAACACCCGTGATCTTTTAGGACATTAATAATGAGGTATTTTAAGGGCCATTTAAAAAAAGTAAAATATTATGTAATAATGTAAGTATATAATGAGTATTTTTGATTTCTTCTAACTTCAAACACACAATATTTGAATATTGAATAACATTTTCTATTGAGTGCAAATGTAAATTGTGTATGAAATTGAGAAATTTTAATGTAAGTAATGACTGATAAATTCAACAAATAATCAACGTTTGTCCTTAATTCACATCGTTGTATCATGTTACAAAATCGCGATTGCAGAAGATGATCATTACGTTACTGTAGCCCCAATTGTGGAGTTAACAGTTTTGGAATTTGAATTTAAGGTTGAAAACTAATTATAATAAGATTAAAATAACAGTAAGGTCCGATTTTTAGAGTACCGGTAGGTTCTGTATTGTATGTTAATATTGTAGGCCTACTTAGTTTTGATATTTAAGACCCCATATTTTTGTATTCAAGTTTTAACATTGGAACTAAAAATGTTGCAAGTCACGTCTCCTAACATTTTTAAAGACAATTTTTTTACCAAACACATGGGTTATTTTAGGGTTGAGAAGGAAGAGAATAACATTAGACTATAATTAAAGTTATCTCCCGCGATCACGGCAAAGTCGTGAAATCTTCCGCGATCACAGAGACATCATAAACATCTCCTGTAAACATAGGAACATCATGTACATCTTCCATGGGAGGATTATGGACACCTTCCGCGATCATCGATACATTGTGATCATCTTCAGTGATCATAGAAACATAGTGACCGTCTCCCGCAACTGCGGCGAATTTGTGAAATTCATCTGCGATTAAAGATACATCATGAACATCTGCCGCGATCACAGGGGCATTATGAATATCTTCCACGATTATGGCTGTTGCCATAACAAATTCATCTTGTAAGTAATAATAATGTAATTTTATTATTACTATTTAATTTAATTTTAATTTTATTATTGATTTTGTAATTAATCTGGCAATGATTACATAGTAAAACATAATATTTTACTATAAAATATTATGTTTAATGAACATCTTCTGATAACACGGAGGCATTAACATCTTCCACAATCACGGACACATAATGATCGTCTCCCGCTACATCCTAATTATCTTCCTTCCTATAATCCTTTTGTCAAGGAGGGTTATGACCCCCAAACTCCCCCTTGGCTACGCCACTGCCTATACATTCAACAAACAAAAAATTAATATTAAAATATACAGAAAGAAAGTGTGAAATTGGTTTATGCTTTCTCTGTTTGACAATGCTTGGCTGTTAAATCTTGTACTCTCTTTAAAAGAAAAACTTAAATGTGTGTTCAATGTTTGAGATGTACATGTAGTCAACAAGGTATGCATGTATGAGAAATATACAAACTGTGTGGTGTGAAAATTTATATAGGGCTGTATATATCTGCAGCAAACCTGCTGACTTAAGCGAATTTCCATTTGCTTGATTCAATATTCATCAGAATATTTCCTTAGGCATATCATATTTATTCCCTATTGAAATAACATTAGGTTTCCGTACTTGTAGTTTCTGCTACAGGGAAAGTAATCAAGATTTTTTTTATGTTAATACCTAAGTAATAGTATGGAATAAGCTAATCAAAATTTAATCAAGAAATCCATAATCAAACTAAATACAACAGTTTAGTAAACCAATAACCTCCATAAAAGTAAAAGAGTTTTAGTTTTGTTTTCAAAATTTATTCGTAACTAAATATTTTATCAAGCGTACACAAATTCTTCAATATACTAAATTATTTGTTTTTTTGCTCTAAAAAATGTCTTGGAAAGAATTTGCAAAATGTTATGTTTTAAGGGTTAAAAATGGAAAAAACCAATTTATTTATACCTTATACAACCCTGTTCCCACAGTCTGATCATGCTAGTCCGGAACTCGTTTGAATTAATGTTGGTTTACAAGCTTACAAGGTTTACAATAGCTCATTTCCTACTTATCTGGGAAATTTGCTAAATAATGGGAAGTTCAGTCAAGCATCTCTTGAGTAGAGGGGGACAAAAGTGGTTGTCTTGACACATTAACTAGGATGTACAGTCACGCCACACGTAAACAGCTCATTTACTCATGTGGCCATAAAGAGAGTCGAATAACGTGGAAGGTCAGTTGATCTAAACTCTACTATAAAATATTTCAATATTTTCTGCATTTTGAGCCTTAGTTATTGTTATGTCATAACTTGTCAACATATGAAGGGAATTAACACTAAACAAACTAACTAAACGTAACTACAAAAAATATGACATATTATTATACATGTTTAAATAATGCTCCTTGTACGCTATAATTTCTTTCACAACCAGAAGTTTAATATTATTAATAGCTCAACAGATAGGATTTTTTTTTTTATACATTAATTTTATCATTAATCTAATCGCTCAATAGATTTACACTTTTTCTTATACATTAACTTTTTTTAACTTTAATGAAAATGATTTACAAAAAATTTTAAGGGTCATCATACTCAGGTATTCCTTGCTATACATGGACAAATTCAGACAAAGTTCTATGGAAAGCAAAACCGTATAAAGCAAGGACAATTTTTAGACTGTTGCAGCCTTGTAGCAAAGCATTATTAAGATTCCACTAATATCTGAAATGGAGCTCCTTACTTTACAATAATTGTATTTAAATAAAATTACAAAGAGATTAAGAAAAGTACTTAATAAGAGGGCTATTTTTTTTTTTTTTACTTCTGATTGTTCAGTACAGAATCTAGGCTAGTGGCAGGAAATGGATGGACTCCATTCACACACAAAACCATCACTCATAAAAGGCATTCTAGTGTTAAGAAGAAAAATCCACTTTGGTAAGAGCATCAGTAATAGCAGATATCTTTATGTCCCCCCCACGCTCCACGCAAGCTTCCTCTCCTCCTCATATAGGGGTAGTGGATTTTTATCCCCCTGGAATTTTACCACCTGGGCAAACGTGACGTCACAAACCAGGGGGTAAAATTCCGGCCGCGAACTTTTGAGTTTCGCGACATCAGCTCGATAGATTAAACGCGGAATTAAACATATATTTTCACGGTTGTGAATTTAATCAGAACACATAAAATTATAAAAACCTAGAGTGTACGGCCTGGATTTTTACCCCCGGAATTTTACCCCCGGAATTTTACCCCCCGGAATTTTACCCCCAGAATTTTACCCCCGGATTTTTACCCCCGGAATTTTACCCCCCGGAATTTTACCCTCCGGAATTTTACCCCCTGGCCAGATATATAAATTAGTGAGAATGATTAATTATCTTCATTCTGTTTTAATTTAAAGCAAACATTTTATTATTAAGTAGCCTACTGTATATTAATTTATTTGTAACATTAACTAATTGAACAAGTTTTTAATTTTAATTTTGAGATTCTAGTATTAGGATTCGATCTTTTAAGCCAACAGTTGGTTAATATGACGTATAAAAAATCAACTGAATGATAATTGTTTCGAACATTTCTTTACAAAATAAATAAAGATTGGCTACTAAATAATAAAATGATTACAATTAATTAAAAACATAAATAAGAAAATCAATCATTCAATTTCTAAAATCAGCCAGGGGGTAAAATTCCAGGGGGTAAAATTCCGGGGGTAAAAATCCGGGGGTGAAATTCCGGGGGTAAAATTCCGGGGGTAAAAATCCGGCCCGTACATCTTTAGTTGTCTAAACGCTAGTTATATGGACAGGGGGTAAAATTCCGGTTTTTATCGCTAATCTAATTAATCACGCTCTGGCTATTTTCATTAGACTTCCAAATCCGGGGGGGGGGGGGTAAAATTCCGGCCGCGAACAAACTTTTGGCCACTCAGGTTCCTACGTCATAGTGACGTCAGCTTTGCCCAGGGGGTAAAATTCCAGGGGGATAAAATTCCGTTGACCCCTCATATGAACTTAAAAATGTAACATATCTTTCAACCTCTGTTAAAATGTCCAGTTTCATTTTGTCAGAATTTTCTCTGTCGTCTTCATTTTACTTACTACCACTTTTATCATTGAAGGGGGTTCCTGAAATTTCTAACTTTTCCATTCACCCGAAAAAATCACCTTTTTGCATACCTTTTACTTTTGATGCGCTTAAATCATAAGATTTAAAAGTTAAAACTTCACCACTTATTATGGGAACCAGTACACAAGACAGCTGAGTGTTTAACACTTTTTAACAAATTCCACAGGAATATTTAGCCATAATCCTCCATTAAAAACCAATTGAACAAGAAATAATTGCTAGTTAATTGGTTTTAAGTAGTAGTGCAAAGTATAACTTATAAAAAATATCATTTATAAAAAGTACAAAACTGTTCAGATGAAATTTTAATTTATTATGAGTGTGCAGCGCAGCAATAGTGGAGTGTGTATGTAGTATGGGAGGTTAGCCCCTCGTCTATACTGAACAATCAGAGGTTGACAAAAAAACTGTCCAGTGTCCACTAAGGACTACCAGTACTCAGTAAACTTGAGAATAAAGCAATAATTCAAACAAAGTATCTTGTAATTTATTTGTTTCCAAAACTAGGAATGCTCTATTGTAAAAATGTTTAGAGATGCTTTGGTAAAGTGATACAATATTTACCTTGGTTGCCATTTTGCTCCTCGTAGTAATCATTGTTTTCTCCAACCTCCAGACAAACCTTTGTGTGACTCCTAGTGTCTTCGTCTTTGACTGACCTAAACAAAGATAACATTGAAATAACAAACAATATCGTGGTCGTACCAAATCGATTTTCAGCTGTTGAAATATATAACATTACGATTACACAAAGACTTGTGCCCAAGAAAAATTTCATAAGAGTTAAACATGCTCACCATGCATACTTGTTGTAATGATCTAAAATATGCACTTACATCAGAATCCATCATTTCAAGAGAAAAAAAGGAAGAGAGCATTTGTAGAAATATTATTCTGAAAATTACTGCCTTTCTGGGGAAATCTAAAACCCAACGTGAAATTTCTTACATTTCTTCAGTTTCCTCATCCAGATTATCCTTGTAACTTCCTCTTTCTTCGTCACTTCCGAGTTCCTCTCCCTCCCCATCCATCTGTGAACCTTGCTCTTGATTCTCTTCCATTTGTTCTTCTTCTTGTTTCTCTGCCTAAAAAGAGCATTAATATTAAAGAATCTGGTTTGTCTTTATTTTACATTAATATTTGCGTTTGGATAAGAATATAGAATTTAACACATAGAAATGACAGTACAATAAAATACATTTTATATTTGTTCAAAATTTATTTTTTTAGCTCTTTATAAAAGGCAGGATTTAAACTGTTATGGGACTTGTTCCGGATGGAAATTTTGTGATAATACTTAATTATTGTGATCATGATGTCACTGCGGTTATTGGAGATAATCATAATGTCAATTCTGATTTTGAGATTTTATAATTTTTCATTTGTTAATTTCATTACAATTTCTATCACTACATAGGATTGACAATAATATATTTCCTAACACACACACACGATTTTGAGAGGAACAAAAAAATCCTGTCCCTAACTTAAGAACCATGCATTTTGCATACAGTTGATAATAAAGGTTGTTTTTTTTTTTACGCAATCCAGATTAAAAGTACTGTGAGACACATTTTAATGATGTACCTAATAAATCAACTACTATTAACATAATACGAATTTAAGGATATCGGATCTGTAAAAAAAATATATATATCTAAAATGTATACTTTATTTGAGCTTGTGAAAACATCATGTTGAGTCTTATCATTTACAATAAATTCCCAATGACACTAAACATCATGGATAACTATGAAACCATGCATGTCAACTGATCGGCAATGAAGTAAAGAAAACAGGGATACCAACATGCAAGCTTGTTTTGACAAAAAATGTGTCTCCCAGTACTTTTAATATGGATTGCAATAAAAAAAAACTATGTACAATTTACTATAACAATTTAAAAAAATGTATTCTGAGAAAGTCTCACACAAACATAGCTTACTTCTTCATCAGCTTCTTTCTCTATTGCTGTCAGTGATTCAGCATCTGCCAGATTGTCTACAGCAATGGCCAAGAAGACGTTTAGTAGAATATCTTCAATAGAAGTTAAGGAAACCATCAACAAGGAAATCCAGCTTTCATAGCAGGCTTATACTTAGGATTAGAGGATTACTTCATCTATTGAAAAAGAACTGTGGCAATTACCAAATCCTTACAATAGTGCAAAATTTATCTATGTAATTTATACATTTTTCTATTCTAACCTGAAACTCTACAATTTGACAAGTCCAATTTGGATATAATGATTCTGTAAACCACTTGAAAATGCCATATTAGGCAAAACATATGTAGTGGATAAAAACACTAAATGTGAACTGTAATACAAGGTATGTAAATAGTTTAGTGAAAATGTTTGTTTATAATCTGAATGAAAACATTAGAGACATTTAGAATTAGTCTTGGGTGCCAACTGTATGGGCCCAAGGAGTCAAGCTCTCCCTTAGGCCCCTGTTACCCTAAGGTGGCTAGCTACATCACTGGCCACGTGGCTAGCTACAGGTGCAAGTGTTACACTGAATCAAATGGAATCCTGTTACACTACAGCACTACAGTGGCTGGTGACGTGTACAAAAATGAGCGACTGGGTGGCTAAAACAGCCAAGTGCACGGTGGCTGTTTTTAACGATACAGTCACTAGCCTCCCGGCCCGTGGCTGCTCCGAGCTGTGGAAGTGTACTTTTTAACATTTTGTTATATGGTAGCCTGTTACACTACAGTGGCTGGCGACATGGCTAGCTACCCATTTTGGCGCACACTAGAATCCTGCTCTTTGGGATTGTACTATAGAACGTGCACTGTTCTTTTCCCTCTTCTTATTTTATTTAGAAGGAGAGCTAGTAACAACATGTACTCACTGTTTGATAGCATCATTACGACTAGAAAACTGAACTGCGTTGAACAGACTGTTGGCTAGGTGACCGGCGATGTGGCCAGCGTGCCAGACTCTGGCCATGTGGCTAGCAACGTGGCTAACCACCGTAGTATAACAGGGGCCTTACCGAAGTTTTAAGGGAAGAGAGATACACTTGTACCATAAACACATATAGATTTCAAAAAAACCATTTACACATTTTGAAATGTTATTGTTTATATTATTATTTAGAAGTGGGACCTAAAACACCAACTGGGTTTTAAACCTAGAATAGAGGAAAAAACCTAAAACAAGTGATGGCTTTACCTCACAATTGTATTTATTAAACATATTTGCCTTGATATATTTTCGTGAAAAATAATAGTTCTTGACATTTCAAAAAACATAACACTAGATTGTGATTTGGAACGACATGACCGAACAATATGTCAACGAACTTTTGGCATTTACTTCAATTTTTTTCAATGAACATTCACAATTTTTAAGCCTTACTGCTCACAAGTGGGGGTCAAATTCCCAGGGCTTTAGTAAAAACCCGAGATTTTGGGATTTTTCCAAGGCGATCCCGGAATAAATCCTGGAATCATATTATTTTATGATTTTAACTTTTTTACTATTTAAAAAAGTGTGAAACCCCTTTGCAATTTAACACAATTTTGCTGTCTTTCTAAGTAAAAAATATTATCACACAGAACTTTAATCACCTTTCTTTCTTATTTAAAGTGTATAAGTCATTCTAGAATTTATAATTAGCTATATACAAAAAGAAAATACAAGCAACGACACTCGCATGTAAAACACCACACTCAGCACTAAACTCGCTAAATTGCACAGCTGAATACTTCAACTACTGGGGAAACTAAAATAGTAACATGGAACCTGCGATATGAAAATAAAATAAATTTTTGTATAAATTAAAATAAAATGAAAATAAATAAAACTATATACTCAGTTCAGAACTTGATCTCCAAAACCTAGTTTCTGTAGTTCTGGACTAAATCTTGTGATTATTTCTAGTTTAGAACTAGAGATAATTCATAACTCCGAAACCCGCTCTTTAACCCAAATATTGCTTCTCAGTTCAATAAAAAATATAAGAATAAATAAACCTAGATAATATGGGGAGAAACAGCAGCAAAAATTGTTTGTGGACTGCAATAGTAGTTTACGCAACGATTGCGTTAAGTGAGTCTTTACGACACGAGTAGAAAATTTAAGGCGAGTGCCTTAAAAACTTCTACGAGTGTCGTAAAGACTATTAACGCGAGTTGCGTACACTACTTTACCTACGACCGTTTTTTAATTACTATCAATCTGGATTTAATTACTTACAATCACTAATGATAACTTTTTAGAGAGGTTATGTTTTCGTGTATTGTCATTGCCACTGAAAGTGATGCAACGACTTGTTGTATAATCAGCTGATTTCCTGTAATTACGTGTTTGTTAAACTTCGTTAAATATTACATTGCTAGCAGCATTCTTACCATAAATAATATTGTATCAGGTACAATTCGGCAAATATTTCATTTATTTTTGGACTTCCACCAACTTAATTAAGAATACGCGAGTATCAACATGAACAAGTCGGATCAACAATTAAATTGGTCAACTGATCAGCTGATCCGCTGATTAGTTGACGTTCGAAGCATTACAATTTTAATTCTTTTCTCTCAATACTTGAACCTCATTGGTTCGTTACCTGTGTGGATATGAGAAAACTATGCGGATATGAAATGAAACTATGCGGATATGAAAGTAAACAGCTGTAAAGTGAAACTTTTCAATTCTAAGAACTGGACTGAAATGGCTACTTTAAAAAACGGTCGTAGGTAATAGTTATTTGTGCAACTAGTGAGAAAAGTGAGCAATTGACTCACTCGAGAGAAATCCTTACTCACGAGCCGTAGGCGAGTGAGGAATGGTTTCTCGAGTGAGGCAATTGTACTTTGAACTCGAGTTGCACATTATACTTTTCCTACAGTTACCATAAAACCATAATTTATTACCATAATTTATGAAGAAACATAACCTATTTTTGCACAGTGAACTTTTAATATAACATTTAATGTGAAGTGACAAATACAACAGTACATCAGCTGACCAGCTGATTTACAGCCAGTGCTGCCAACGTATTTCGCGCCCATACGACGTTGCCTGCATGTTACGTGCTCACTATTTCTTACCTTCACGTTGCAAATCTGGAGTGAGACAAAGTAATTAGAGTGAGACAATGTTAACATTGTCTCACTGATGAGCGAATTGGCCACTTTGCTTTCTCAAATCAGTGAGAGAACATGTATATTGTTAGGTAACTGTAGGAAAAATAATTTATGATACACATAACAAATCATGTGCTTACACACCCATAGTTTAATCCAATTACAAAGATAAAATTATAGACCCTAAAATACAAGCAATCTTGTTGTTGTTGTTGTTGTTGGTGTGTTTATAGTAAATGTTTTATGCTTTCTGCTTCTGATATTATTATGAAAATAATACTTCAACTATTACCGATTGTCACGTTACGTTTGTTATATCAATTGCATTATTTGCGTTTCATACTTTGCCAAGATTTTAGACCTGAAGAGAAATATTGTAGTATAAATAATTCAGGAATAAAATATATCCATACCATTGTTTGCCAATGTTAAAGGATACAGTTACCACAGATGAACAGAATGATGAAGTAAATACAGGCCAAGATGCCAAATCCTCCGACACCGTGATATGCCTGGATTCCGTCGTACATCACTGCGTTCCAATCTTCACCAGTCAATATCTAAAAAAGGACTGATTTAACAACTAGATATAATAAATATATAACTTTTAAAAAAGTTTGCAAAAGAGCAAAGATAGGAATAAAATAAATAAAATATGTCTTCAAACACTATCTGATATATTGTATTTAAAATTATACTGTAAACATTTACAAGACGGTAAACAAATGTAAAAATGTTACAATTACGAACAGTTTTAACTAGTCATTATGTTTAACATAAAGCCGCATTTAGACCGGAGTTATTAACAAATATGAAATATTAAAATTAGCAACTTTTGAATATTATTAACATTTTATTTTGGTTTGTCACTTTTGTTATTAATATTTTTCTACTTCCACGTCAGTTTACACGACAATGTCACGTGAGTACTGAGTAGGATGTGTTTCTTGCTGCGGCTGCCTGTTTGATTAAGGCAAGAACTAAATATACTGTAGTGGAAGTGACATGTCTCAAGATTTAAAAGATGATGACATAGACTAACTCCTTTGTCGAGTGAGTTAGGGTGTGACGGGAGTTTCAAGAACTTCCTACAAATGGCTATTTTGACTTTGAATTTTTGATTCAAATGTTGGGTCACCAAATTTCCAAACAGGCACAAACTATCGGAAAGCAATACTGTAACAGTTAAGGAAAAGTTAGCAATGACATTGGGTTTAATAACACGGTTTAAGGTCCAATCAGAGACTCGAATTGGGCCTGACCAAAAATGATGATAAGATGACTACTACTTTATTCATAACACTTCCAGTTTTCTGAAAAGAGTCAACTGAAGCAATCATTGCGTTGCGATCAGGAAGCTGTTAAAATAAGTTACATAGTTTGATTCTTACCTGAAATACTGTCAACAAGCTCTGCCAAAAACTGTCAAAGTTTTGGCGAGGCTTATCATCTACAGCACCTTCAAAATTGAACTTTCCTCCAAAAACTTGCATCCCCAGTAGAGCAAAAATAACAATAAATAGGAACAATAGAAGCAGCAGAGACGCAATGGATTGGATTGAATTCAACAGCGATGCGACCAAATTTGATAGAGATCTCCAGTACCTGCAAAAGAGTAATAAGTAAATGGTATTCAAGTGTTAAAATATTTTACCTACGACCGTTTTTTAAGAGTTAACAAAAAATTACTTTTTAACTATTTAACAACATTATTAAAATTTTGCAATATGTTATCTCACCAAATAAGTGTTCATAATGATGTTCTCTAGCTTAAAAACAAAACGTTCAGTTTACTGGCCAGTGGGTAAGAAGGTTCCTGAAAACAATTTCCAGGGATTCCTAAATGCCGTTACTGGCCATAAATTAGTTTTACATCAGTTGGTTTACTCCAACGATCACATAAGACCGGTTATATGCACGCCTATCCAATTAACATTCTAGCAACCGAAGCACAGATGGCCATCTTGCCCAAGGATAGAAGCGCTAGTTGTTGATAAAAACGGCGCAAAAACTCAATGTTCCGCTTCCACATAACTCAGCATCTAGCCTATTTAGAGTAAAGGCATATGGTTGAATCTTTGAGTTACAAATTTGCAGTCACTGAATTCTTGAATAATATTTGTTCTGATTAAAGGCTTAAAAAGTAATATTTTCTATTTTAAATACTCAAGTAAAATCGGTTTATTTATATGAGTTTTGAAATGTGACATGAAAACGTTTAACAGCTGCTATTTTTTTTAGTTTTTGGTCAGGTAAGTTAAAAAACGGTGAATTTTGTTGATAAAGAGTAAAATTTTCTAAACCATATTAAAAAATGTTGTAACTGATGTAGTTTGGCTTTAGTTTGAGTTATATAAGAGGGGTCGTAGTTAAAGGAATATTCATAATGCAAAGCCATATTTTCACACATATTATTGAATATTGATATAAATTCAGATTTCATTAGTACTGGTCCGCCACTAAGGCTCATCACGACTGGCAGCCGCCATCTTGATACAGACTACTGAAATATCATTGCTTCTTGGCACGGCCAATGTGCTCCATCTTAGTCTTATGTGATCTTTGGTTTTCCAGACAGAGGGATTATCATTAGTCACAGTACACACTCAGTTAACCAACGGAATGCAAGTTCTAAAAGTTAACGTTGTCAATACCTTGAGTGGGACTAAGTAAGCAAGTAAACATTGAATTATATTTATAGGACAAAAGTCACATTGTGCAACGTCCAAACGTTTATTTCAGTTTTACAAGAACAGAGAGATGGAGATGACAAAGGGTCAAAATCACGAATTGAACAAACATTTTCTGAAAGGGTTCTAAAAAAACTCACTGAAGTTTGATACAGCCTAAGACAAAAGAGTATGGATTATGAGCAGTAGGGCCTAAAAAGGACTAACAAACAACATCACACTTTTCTTTTGTACTGGCTATGCAACAAGAAAGATGTGTGGATACTGCTGACCAACACTAGACAAACCCAGGTGAGAGTCTCTGTTTGTTTGGATCTGAGGAGGGAGCCATCAAGGAACAGTGCCATCACACATCAATGATTTCCAGATTAAGCCAAGCTTGGATACAAAAGATCTTTATAAACATCTGTGAATTTGTGTTGGTTCAGAAAAAATAGTACTTAGAGGAAACAAATACTTATCCATTTTCAACCCATATAGAAGCAGAGAAAAACCAATTAATTTACCAATTCTCTTTTTTTTTTTTTTTTGTCCTAGGACGCTAGGCACGAGCCTGGGATTGTTTTTCACATTACTTCAGGCTAGACCTAGGGGTTGCGGCATTATCACTTAGATAAATCCATTGGTGACTTGGGGGGGATCGAACCCGGGACCTACCTCACAGTATGAAAATCACATTTTGAGTTTACATTATATTATAACAATATATCCCATTCATTTATCCTACAGAAAACAGCTAAATGAAGTGAAATGGTCCATAACAAGTTCATAACTTGATACAAAACTCTATAATTTATTAAAGCTAAATTGAGTTGGTCTAATCACATTATAAGGTGTTTTTATGCTATGCTTAACACGTTCGCTGCTGCCCATCAAATGGCAGGCTCCAGTGCGGCGCAGCCCGCAGCGTCGAACAAACCCGATTGCCGGGCTATTGGCTTTCATATTTCGGTATGACGAATATAAAATAACGTGTGGTGATGTCCTGTTTTGTAGTTTGCTAAACACCCACAGTAGATGCCATTATTTTACAATAAAACAAAATTAATATAGCACAAAATTACAGTAAACAAACGTAATGAGTAAGTCAAAATCCACCAGGTATAGTTTCGGAATGAGTAACAATAATTACAAATGGATTGCACCACCAAACTGCCACTGTCATACACGAAGCACGGACAAAAATACTCCGACCTACACCGGAGTGCGGCTGTACTCAAACGGAATAAGTTTGGCGGGTGCACATTACCGCCCGGGCGGCGCGCCGCAGCGTGGCGGAGCGCGGAGCTACCGCCCGGGCGGTAGCCCGCAGCGAACGTGTTAAAAACCTTATCTTATGCTATGTACATTACACATTATGTTATGCTTTATACAAGTTCCTTCTAAGTAAATTTATCTAATTTTAAAATAGACGTGAACCAATGCAGATAAATGTTAAAAGTAAATATGTTTGAAAATATGAACATGGATTAATTTGAGGAGTTGGCTTGTACCATAGACAAAGAGAATTAAATATAGACTATCAGCCTTGCTGTGGTTACCATGGTTACCATAGGTTCCGGCGCACACCGCTGTAGTTTACGTAGCGCGTACGCCGTAACTACATGGCGCTCCAAGCGGTGTGCACCAGAACCTATGGTAACCGCAGCACAGCTGACGGTCTATATTTAATTCTTTTTGTCTATGCTTGTACCCTTATCCTCATTCCAAATCTGGGCTTGTTTGTATAACATTTAAAAATTGAAACATATAGACCATATATTTAAATTGTACCCCAAATTTTGAACAAATTCAGAAAAAGGGGTATTCAAACTACAGTAATGACGTAGCAAAAGATTCATGACACCAAATAAAAACCCCAAAATTATCTTGAAATATCTGTCCTTGGAGGTAAATCCTACAAACATTTAATTGGATATATATATATAATTTATTTATAAGATAATTTAAGGAGTTTAGATTAAAGTTTTTTTGTTGAAATTTAATGAAATATGGATTTAAGAGGTTATTACAAAAACACAAAATGTTTTCAGCACTTAAGACACCGATTATTTATTTTTTTAATAATACAGGCTTAGTAAAAAATGTTTAAGTAATGAATTCTTCTAAAAAGTGTAATTTTCAAATTTAGTTAGGTGATAAAAAATTAAAATACACAAAACGATAATAACAGAAAATGCTTCATATACTGTACCTTGATATTAACCTAATAGTAGTTTCAAGATTTTTCTAATGTCAAACAAATAGTTCTACAAATTTTTACAACAATTAATTTACAAACACAAATTACTTACTTGGTTACTTTAAAAACCCTGAGCAATCGTACACAACGCAAAACAGATACACCTAAAGGTGGCATCCAATGTGTTCTTGTTAAAACCATTTCTGAAATGCTTCCAATAACGACAAAACAATCAAAACGATTGAATAATGAAACAAAATATCCCTGAAACAAAGGAAAATTTGTTATTCGATGCTACTTTTAAATCCATGGTTTCTTTTAAAGTAGGTACATTTAATTGGAAAACTATACATTTTAACACCAAAACATAGAATATATTTTTAATAAAACAGTTTATTTATGACAATTTTATTTTTATTTAGGTTTTATTTTAATCATGAGTTGTTACTTTATTCAATTGAATCAATTGATACACTTAATTTAAAATGTGTAAATATTCATGTTCTTACAATAAATCTTTTAATACCAATGTCATATTACACTGGGAACCAAGCTTAAGGAACCTTCTATGGTTTGGTTATCTTACCTAGTGTAATGACATTTTCAATCAAACTAAGAATGTAATTTGTTTAAAATATGGTGTCAATAATAAATTAACAATCTTACCTGAAACCCTAAACTGTACATTTTTAAAAGCATCTCCAATGTGAAGAGGGCAATGAAAAACATATTTGTTGCCTCTGAAAAATAAAAGCAATAAGAGAGAGGAATGTAAAGATAACAATTTTCATGCAAAGACTACATTTCTTAAATAAGTAAATTGGAATTCCTGAAGTTTATTTTCTAATGAAATAGCACTCTCAATCTGGCACCTACAACACCTACCTTATTGGACGCAAGCTTGCACAATTATTTTGGTTGCGCACGCATGCACAAGCGTAATTCTGCAGTAAAACAGATCTATAAGTAAAACAGCGTAATGATGCACCTATAATCAAAATCTGACTGAGATCAACAGAAACAAGTGGTGACTTGTCCATTGCTGCTCACACTGTCCGCCACCAGCAAGTGCATGTTTGCGCAAGCTTGCTCAGACTCTGCACCGAAACAAAGATATTTGTTTCGTAGTTGCAAGCGTGCGCAAATGGCAGAATCTCAGTTCAGAGGTCAGTTGATTCCTGAACATTGGGTAGAGTAGAAGTGACGTGCTGTACTATGGATAGGGAAATTCTTGCCTGAAAAATTTGATTTCCTGCTTAGTATAGGTTTTTTATTGTCCAGTGTAATAGAAAGTCTCTGGTGTCATTTTGAAGTACCAGAAAATCTTGTCAGGTTGCCTTAGCAAGTCGTTGAAAGATTAGTGCATACTCTCCATCTTGCTCTCTGTCCACAAAATACTCGTTTTCAACTCGTCCCTAATATCTTGTTCATCCATGATAAAAACTCCTTAATAACACTTTCTAAAACAATGTCCTAGTCATCTAACACCACAATTTTAACTGACCTGATTATAGTAATTAAATTGCAACTCCTTGCTTTCAGTGTGAGCACATCGCTGTTCACGTAAGCTAGCGCACACATGCGCCACCAAATTTCTTGTGCAAGCGTGTGTCCAATGTGATCTTAGCCTTATAGATATGGGTCAACTAAATACTCCTCTCTTCTAAATGATGAGATAAAGAATGACATATAGGCCTCTACTGTTATATTGGGACTACAATCAAATATGCCAAAAACTGTATCTTTCAAGATAATTGATTAAGCTGGGGTTACAACATAGACACAGGCCCACTTTTATAAACGGGCAGACTGGGCATATGCCCAGGGGCGCCGGTGGTTGGGGGGCGCCCAGGGCGCGCCCTGAACCTCCGCCCGCACTAGGAAAAATAGGGTTTTATCAGCCGGGATTTCAAAAATAAAATGGGTGATTTCATCTTGTAGTTAAGTGATTTTCCCTCATTGCAAAAGTAAATAAATACAACAAAATTGAAAATACTCGACATTCAGGTTATAGGCCTACCTCGTGTAGTCAGGGAAAGGCAGGTAGCAGTGTGAACCGGGCGCACTCACTATACTATCAGAGGCAGGGCAGTAGGCCTGCATGGAGGAAGGAAATACCCTCCACAAATACATAGGTGTGCTATTCCTGTCGTATGCTGACGTCACTCGGATTGCAAACACCATTTTACCATTGAGAAAAATTATAAAAACAATAACAATCAAATCAAACAAATATATACTTATATGGCAATACATCAGCTGATTTTTTGTTTGCAATATGGGTGACGTCAGAAAATTACAGGAATAGCACGTAGTCCAGCTGTAGTCTACAGGCCTACGGTTGACGTGCCCCTCCTCTCCCTTCCAGTCCCACCCCCATCCCCAAAAGTCACAACTACCAACTACCGCGCGGCGGCCGTGGCGCCAGTCCAGTACACAGTAGTAGACTAGTAGTAGGACTCCTCCCTCAGTAGTCGTTAGGTTGTGTTCGTGTTGTGCCTACTGCACAGTCGTCAAATCAGTCACAACACAAGCTAAACTGTTACAGTCACTAGTCAGTGTTGACACTCACACTGCAGTTAGTGAACCAGTAATAAATAAATAGAGAAGTGTTGATACAAGTAAGTAGGCCTATAAACAGTGAAAAATGCATAAAAAACCTAGTGGAGCCGAGAGCCGCAAGCTGTTGGCTCAAAGAAAACAAACTCAAGAAGCAGTTTTAAAGAAAGTGAAATGTATTAACCAGTATTTCCACTGATACGGAATTGAAAACTCCCTCCCAAAACAAAACTGGTAAAAAAACACGCTATAATGTATAAATATATATATGCACGGGCCTATATTAGGAACCATGGTAAAAAAATACTCTCTTCGTAGAATCTCGTTCAATACGTGTGTAATGCATCGATCTCTATTATTACAGAGATCGATGGTGTAATGAACTGCATACTGTACTGTACTGAACAGTAATCAAATCACTGCGTAGTGCATTAAGCTATTGGCGCAGGGCAAGAGGCATTCGCATAGCAACTACTCTCAAGTTCATTGCACTAACCCCAATCACCAAACTAAAACATTTATCCCTCGTAACTCTCGTAAAATGCCACTAGCGTAAAAAAAACCTTTATAGTTACTGTATATATATAAGGGGGGCGCTGCTTTTGGGTTTGCCCAGGGCGCCACTCTCCCTTAACGCGGCCCTGCATTACAGTTAATGGTTAACATCAACTAATATTCAAATTTCATTTATACATCATCAAGACGTTAATAGGTATCTAGGTATGATAATGGAGTTTGATATCCATTTGCAGTAAAATTGAAAAACTCTAGGCCTAAACATATTTATGCCTTGGTAAAAATCTATCTATCAATCAGAATCAGAATCAAAATTCTCTATTCATATTGTGTGTACGTACATGAATAGTGTCAAATGTCAATTTCAGACTACAACTATTTTTTTTACATTTTTATTTCACTTTACAGAAAAGTAGAAATTGCATACAGTTTTATTGTTTTTTCCCAGCGGAGCACCTCAACCTTTTTTAGTCTTTTTTAAATTGAAAAAACTCTTCAAATGAATAATAACTCTTGCAGCAGATGATTCTTAACTAGTTTTTTTAATCATTTTGGTTTATTTTACTTTTTAATTTGGTAAGAAAATGGTTTGAAAATTTTGATCCCATATAGGTTCCCTTTTTTCAATAAAAGATGAGATTATGTTTTGATAAATTTATATCATTCTTATTTCTAGTGTCATATGAATGTACATTTTTTCTAATTTTCAATCTTTGTAGTTGGTTTTTAACATACATAAATTCTAGTATATATTGATCATAGACAGTCAAAAAATGTAGTTTTGAAAATTTATTTTTCACAGTTATTCGTTTGTCTAAGTATAGCATGATTATTATAGCCTTTTTTTTAGTTTCAGTACTGTATCTAAATTTTGTTTGGACGTTCCTCCATATATTGCCAGACCATAAGACAAATGGGAATGTATATGCGCAAAATATATTGATTTTTAGAGTGTCCAGGCTACATAATAGTGATATATGCCTCAAAACATATAACCCTGAGGAAATTTGTGTGTTATGAATTGTGTATGATAATCCCATTTAAGATTTGTGTCTACGTAAAGCCCTAATAAAAATTGAGTATGCTCAAGATCTTCTATATATTTTTAATTTCTAACAAAGATGTTTAATTCTGTTGTTTATTTCCTTTTTGAGGCCGAAAAAACGATTTGGTTGGCTTTCTGACAGTTTAAAAAAAAGTTTATTTTTAAGAAAATAGGATTGAACTTTACTCAAATTTTCATTACAGGCAAGTTCAAGATTTTGGTAATTCTTAGCTGAAATAATTAGGTTTGAATCTTCTGTGTACAACAATAACTGGCTTTTGGTTTCTATCTTTGGTTTTAAAATTGAGGGCATAACAAGGTCATAGAGCAGAGAAATAATAATGGTCCTAATATATAACCCTGAGGGACTCCATGTTTGATTTTTAATGTTTGTGATTTATTTTTAACAACTTGGTTTCCTTTTTTGAAACTATTTCAACATACAGTACTAAGATCTATCGGAGAGGTATGATTTAAACCATTTTAAAGGAACATCTGGCAGGCCCAAAACTTTAAGCTTCTTAAGAAGTATTTCATGACACATACCTTATCCCCCTTGTCAATAGAGTCAATTATTGTTTCCGCAAATCTCAGAAGAGCTGAAGTTGTTGATTTTCCTTTTTGGAAACCATGCTGTTCTTTGTCTAAAAGGTTATTATTTTGTAAATGCTCAAAGAATCTATTATACCCCACCCGTTCATATATTTTTGATAAAGCAGGTAAAACAGAAACTGGACAGTAATTACTTCTTTCAGTTTTTTCACCTTTCTTAAAAATGGGCACTACTTTAGAAATTTTTAAACTGTGAGGAAAAACTCCGGTTATTAAGGAACTGTTAACTAAATGTACTAATGGCTTTAACAAGGCGTTTACTGTATGTTTAATTAACTTTAAAGTAACTTCATTGTGGCCACTTGATAGCTTATTTCTTTTAGGGGAAAATATTTTTTTCAATCTCTGATTCATTAACTGGTTTACATTTTAAAGTATTCAAGTTCAATATGATTTATGTTGTCCTGCAAACCTATTCCATTGGGCAAAATTGAATTATTTGAGGCGTCCTGAACAATATCATCTACAGTAGACTCTTGATAATTCGAAATTGGTGGGCCAAGCATATCAATTTGAATTATCAAGAGTTTTGAATTATCAAGAGTTCGATTTATCGGGAGAAAAATAAACCATTCGAATTACAGAGAGTTTGTTTGTTTAATACATACAAAGGTACAGCACGTTACAATAAAACATCATACCGTATTTTAGTACACTTTTAAACAATCAACGGCTTATTTTTCAGTTACTGTAGTTGCAAAGAAATCTGTTATTTAGCGCTATATATTTCGCCAATAGCTGAACTATCAGCTGTCGACAACTACGTTTTTGCTCAAGGAGATGTCGCGCAAGTCAGCGAACTAACTCAGACTACTGCTCTAACTAAACAAACATTAAAACGTCCAACACTAGCCTACCATGGGAACAGGATGTACTGTACTGTATAGTTTCCTGTTATAACAGGAAGAGATCACTTCGAATTATAGAGTGTTTTGCCGACAAAACTTCGAATTACTGCGTGACTTCGAATTAAAGAGTGTTAACCGACGAAACTTCGAATTACTGAGTTACTTCGAATTATAGAGTGTTTTTTCGACGAAACTTCGAATTACTGCGTGTTACAAATTGACCTGCCCTCTATTTGGACTTTGAAATACCGAGTGTATCAAAATGCATGGTAAAAATTTGAAATATTGAGAGATTCTCTAGGGACTGAGCCTTCATTTTGAATTATCGAGAGTTTTGAATTATCAAGTGTTTGAATTACCAAGAGTGGACTGTATTACATTAATATAGTAATTATTACAAAAGTTTGAGATGCTCAGAGAATCACATATAGCTTCACCATCTATCTTTATTACATTGATTGCTCCTCTTAAGCTGTTAACATTTTTGCCTGACTCTTCTTGTATTATCTCCCAGGTTTTATTGCAGACATTTTCAGAGGTTTTATTTTTTCATCATAAAAAGTTTTCTTAGCCTTAACAAGTTTTATTCTTGTAATCTCCATCTTTTAATTTACAGTAATTAATTATATCATCATTACTTAACTCTAGCATATTTTGATAGTTCAACAACCTATATACTTTTTCTCCATCATCAATTCTTCAGTAATCCAGTTACTTTTCCTTTTATACAAATAGCTTTTGATTTTCTTTTAGCGAATTTCACTTATAGGGAATAAGCTATTACCATAGTACTCATGGTAAGACCTGGATCAGGAATAAGACCTGGAACCTATTGAACAAATTTTTAGCACAAAATTTCTCGGTCTACTAATAGATGGCAACCTAAATTGGAATGAACACGTGGACAAAATCATATCAAAAATTAATTCAGGTTTATGTGCCTTGAGAAAAATGGCAGATTTATGTAGTCAATCAACACGCAAACTAATATACCATTCCTATATACATTCCCATATATCATTTGGCATCTGTCTTTATGGCTCCACCAAACAAGAAAATCTTGATAAAATTCAAAAATTACAAAAAAAAGCAATTCGGATCATTAAAAATCTTCATCAAGAAGTATCCTGTAGAGAGCATTTAAAAATCTTCAAATTATTACAGTTTATGGACAGTATATTTTTGATACAATTATGGTTTACAAAACTTTGAATTCAAGCAAGCCATTAATAAACCATCCAACTCACCCATACAATACCAGAAATAAATCGGAAATCATACCCACTCATCACAGATTGCAACTCTACACCAAAAAACCATCATATGCAGGAGCAAAGTTTTTTAGAACTTTACCTAAAGAAATAAAAAAAGAAAATAATGTTAATAAATTTAAAATTAAGTTAAAAAATTGTATTACATCAAATCCTATTTATTCAATTGAGGAGTATAACCAGTTGTAAATATGTATTATAAGCCCTGTTAGCTATAAAGAAATGACACTATTCCGTTGTATGACTCATGTACACATTATGAATAAAGATTGATTTGATTTGATTTGATTTGATCAGGGACCGATTTACTTTTTCGTTTTGAGGTCCCAGAGGACAAAAACACCATCCCATCTGTTCAAATTCATATATATATGTATATATATATATATATGTCCGTTAGCACGATAACTTAAAAAAAATCATCAGATTTCGATGAAATTTGGTAGAAACGTGTAAAACTACATTTATTCGAACGAGTTCGTGAACCAGCATGATCGGACCTATGGGAACGGGGGTTTATGGGGTGTTTTATTGGGTAAAAATTTGTTTTCCCATTTTTGACAAAATAAACATAAAATTTTGCAACTTATTTTGAAACCATTCATTTTGTAGAGCTAAGAAAAACAAACAATTTAGTATATTGAAGCGTTGTTATGCGCCTCATAATTACAGAGAAAATTCAAAAAAATTGTAAATTTAAAATTCCCATGTTGTTTTTATGGAGAATAAGTAAACTTGTTGTAGTTTGCTTGTTTATGAACATATTTTGATCAAATTTGGAAAATGCATTTACTTTACTAAACTATTGACATTGACATTTACTAAAAACACCTTTTTTACCCTCCCTGTCGCAGCAAACCTACGTACTCGTTAAACTAATGCTATTTAAATAGGGAATAAAAATGTGATATTTTTAATGAGATATTTTATTGTAAATCCAATCAGGCAAATGGAAATTCACTTCGTCTGAGGGTTTGCTGCGGCAGGGGTATTTTTGAAATACTAAATTAAAATTATTTCGAAAAATTTTGTTAAATACATCAAACTTATTTTCCACTTTTGATAAATATAATGGAAGCCAGTTTTCATATGAAAGAATATTTTTTTTATATTCATATTATTATCAGAAAAATCTACATTCAACATATTCACTGGCCAAATTTAATTTCTTGTATTTGGATAATGTTAGTTTTAAAATTTGTCCATCATGATCGGAAAGAGATGTGATGATTCCAGTAACATGTGTCAATGACTTATATATATTCGTTAAAATATTATCCATAGCTGTGTGACAGTATTACAGGTTACACTTGTTGGAAAATTTACTAAATAGTTAAAATTGTAGCTTTTTAGGATGTTTTTTAAAGTTTGGACTTTATTTGTTGTATTGTATTGTGAGAGGGGTGGACTCGTGGTCCAAGCAGTTGAATCGAAGCTTATTGTGCATTCATTTGTTGTAAGTAATACATTAAGGTTGAAATCCCCAGCAATAACAAAATTTACTTCATCTTTTAAGCAACTAAAAGTTCAATTAACCTATCTAATCTACTTAAAAATTCTAATGTTTGTAATTGGGGCTTTCTGTAAACTCCTACCAGCACAAAAGGCAATTTTTCTATTCTATATTTAGCCAGACAACACTCAAAAAGCTATCCTCAGTCAGTTCATAAACTTTTTTTAAAGTTAAGGGTTTTGAGTTCAAACTCTTCTCCGACAGAATCATCACACCACCGCCGAAGGTGGTTGTACGAGAGTATGCAGAAGTAATAGAAAAGTTGGGTTAATTAAATCTTTCTATTTAATTTTCTTTCATGTTGTGTTCGGTCCAAAAAATGATATTGGGTTTAATTTCTTCTAAAACAACTTCTAATAGTTCTTTCCGTTAATTTAAATGTTGAATATTTTGACAAAAAATTGAAAATGTGTTTAGTTTGTTGCTATTTTTTGAGTGATTTTTAAAATTTAGTCTGGATCCTTGAGACCTGTCGGTGAAGAGTTTAAATCCGTTCCAGACAGGATCTAGTGTGGTTGATTACTTAAACTTGACTGGGTCGAACTATAACTATTACTTTTAAGAGTATAAAGTGCGCTGTTGCACGACGACCAATCCCATGATGTCCAAAGCTTGTTGAAAGATTATGTTTCTTGCAGTTACTGTACTTTTGGACATGATGAGATTTGGACGTCGTGCTACAGTCGAATAGTTTATATTGGACGTCGTGAGACAGCAGACACTGACTTAAATATCAATGGACGTTGTGACATTTGGATGTCGTGCAACACTCCCACCCCCTTGACTGAAAAACATATTTCTCTTTGTATTTTATTTTTATGGAAAAAAGATTACTTATTTTTTGTTTAATCTCCATACGTGTAAAAGCATTTTTTTTCTTTTTAGGTACTATTCAATCTATCTTATGAAGAAAGATTATTTGATTTTTACTTTCTAATTCACAGTGACATATCTTTCGATTTCAGTCAAAACTGTCTTAGACATAAGCATCAAGAAATTAAATAGAATGTTTTAATACACGATAGCATTTCAAAGATATCATAAAACATACTTATAAAGCCCGAAGATGCTCTACATTTTGAAAAATCTTTATATAATACTAATGAGGATTCTCACCTTGGAAATCATCCAGCCAATCAGGCTGTGCATAATGCTCGGTGGCCAGCACTCCGGTATTGAGGAAAACCAGAATTATGATCAACCAGTAGAATGCCTGCGACTTTACAGCCTTTCTACATGCTCTTCGCATTCTTCTGTTGACTCTGAAATTAGCAACGTAATTTTTTTTAAAGTAGCTTCTTAGCAAAATAAATATTTAAGTGTGTTGTAGATCCTCAATACTTTATCCCAATTACATGATGTAGATTGTTTGTGTTGTGTAGTGTTCTTACACTGTAGGGGTATTAGGAAGTTAAATAAATACAACAGTTTGAACCAAATACTGTGCTAATGACCAAACGGGCAGGAGCCATCTCAGGATGAAACCTGGGCAATAACTGAGGTAACAGGTGACAGTTTACTTGGACTGTTGGGTTATTAGGGAAGTGGCGTGACCTGGTTTACTTAGCAATACTTTATTAAAAATAATATTATTACAGTAGAACGTCCATAATTTGGATGTCAATAATCTGGACCATCAATAATCCAGATTTGTCCCTAGCAAGAAATAAGATTTCCTACTGTCTGCCCTTGCACTAAGCTCTTTACTTTAGAGTGGGCGATGGGAGAATTTGTAGGGTCTGATGTTTTAACTGTACACTGTATACATGTTTCTATGGACTAAATACAATAAAGTGGTTGAACATGTAAGCTTTCAGCAAAATATGTTTTCAATTCATCTCACTTTTAGTCCCTTTACAGTAACTTAAATTTAAAAATTACAATTTTACAGAGTTTTTTTTATTCAAATGTGTGCAAGCTGGCCCTTTTTTTAGGCGATTTTGGTCCAAATTGATCCGGATACTTAGTTGGTGTACAACTATACCTAGAGGGATTAAAGATCAAAGAATAAATTTGGGGTTTGCCAACATGGACGAGTAAATTTCTAATGTTCTTAACAATTTATATGTATATAAAGATATGACAGTTTCTCACATAAATGGACTTACCCAGGGCGAGTGTTGATGTAAAAATGTATCAGTCCCGTCCAAATACATTACTTTGTTTGAAATCTTTTAAATGCCTACTATGGTACTTAAAACGATGCCATTAAAGTTCATTAAAAAAACCAACAGCACAAGTGGTAAGGAAAGTGTTCAGACATAGGTCTTTTTAATTGATCTCCAGTGGAGTGTTAAAATGACCGCTGTCATTGCACTGTCCCGCCGTCATTGCATTGTCCCGCCGTCATTGCATTGTCCTGCCGTCATTGCATTGTCCCGCCGTCATTGCATTGTCCTGCCGTCATTGCATTGTCCCGCCGTCATTGCACTGTCCCGCCGTCATTGCATTGTCCCGCCGGTTGTGAGGTACCTTCCTGTGATCCAGTTTTCCCAAAAATCACAAGCCAATTTAAAATTTACCAGGTTTGTGATGTTTTCAGCAAAGGAGCATCAGTGGGGGGCCCGTGAGCTGGGTGTCCCGCAAGCCTTGATCGGGATTTTTCGGGAATCTTACCAGGAACCGGACCTGCGACGGACCCTGCCGAGTATTGTCAAGAAATTTCAAAAATGATCAAATCTAAATGTCTTCAGACAACGTTGTGCGTATAAAACGGCAATAGCCATTATTTTTTAGATAGCAGTATTTATTATTTAATATCGTGGTACGAAGTAGGTGTATTGTTTCTCATTGGTAATAAAGCAGCTATCGCTTGCTACCTCGGGCAACGCGGTGACTTGACGTTGCTGGCCGGCGAAAAGATAAGAACTTCCGGCATCTGGTCCGGATGAATAACAGTAGCATCATGTGAACAAATAATTTTTCATTTGTGAATCCTCATGTTATTCGTTGTCGTTACTTGAAGTTAAATTTTGGATTGGTGGATCTATTGCATGCGGTCTAAGTGGCAAATGTGAGAAACCATATTATAAACATTTGAGTGGTGCTCAAAAAATAAAACTTCAGAAAGAAAAGACAGGTAAACTACAAAAGATTGATGTTTTTTTTAACCAATTATACAAATAACTCACTTAGTACATTTCTAATGTTGAAAACAAAGTAGTTTTCAGTGATGGGGAAATTTAACAAAGAAGTACAACCATTGGGGAACCAGAAAAATATACAGATGATAACAACGAAACTACTGATATTTCCAATATTAACGAACAATGCGATGAGGTTAACATTGACACAACGCTCCAAGTAACATTGTTTTTTTTCCGGAGCCCGTTTCTGTGGAAACTAAGGAAAATGTGTTATCCAAGGAACCTTGCCGTCCCTTCCCAAAGGATGCTGTATCCAAGCTATCATTTAGATCGGAATACTATAGTTACACAACATTAACTGGACAGAAGGTGGACAGATACTGGTTGTGCTACTCTACAAAATTAGATGGTGCTTATCGTGAGCCATGTTGGTTATTTAGTAACAGTCCAGAATCAACGTCTTGGGCTACTGGGATTCATAAGTGGCAAGGCCTAAAAAATTAAAAAAAAACATGAATGTAGCAAATCACATTTAAATAAGTGCAAGGTTTATATTTTGTGGAAGAAAAATAAAACCATTGTCGACCAACTCTCCGATGAACTCCGGAAGTGGAAGAATATTTTTATTAGGATAATTTATGTAGTTAGAATGTCAGCACTGTTTTCAAATGACTGTTCATTGCCCTTTAGAGGCCACAGGGAAATATTCAATAGATTGGACCTGAAAGTGGCAACCTTTTGAACATTATTGATTCAATTATCAGATATGATCAGCTACTTAAAGCTCGCATATGACCAATGAAAAAGCAGAAATGAGTATTTACATCATGATATACAAAATGAAATCATTGGTCTGCTTGCACGTTCTGTATTGAAAACGTTACTAGGTAAAATAACTTCTGCACCATTTTACACACTAATTTTGGACACAACCCAAGGCATTTCTCATAAAGATCAATTGAGTGGTGCATTGACTGAAAATTATTGCTTAAAACTTGGTTTCATTTTGTGCCATAGTCTTCAATGAATGATATTGCTGCAGTAAGGCACTGTTATTGTAATCATCCAAATTTTGTTGTTGTTGACAATATGATTTAGGCTACATAAGACTACTCAAACAATAGACAGACTGATCTAAAATTTCACTGATTTGATTCTATTGTTTACTGTGGTGGTTCCACACCAGTAATATGATAAATAAAGGGGAAATTGCCTTCTGTCCCATTATGGTCCGTGTTTAGACCTGACGGATTAAACACATTTCGGCTCTTCAGCCATCATCAGATCATCGTATAAGAACTTATTTTGCCTGAATGCCATTATCTCGCCGTTCATGAAACTTCCATAAACCCTTCCAACATTGTAGGCTACAATAGCTTCATTCATATAATGTTCATGGTAGGCCTAACTTTAAACACAGAGGATTTTAAAAAAGAGGTAATTTAATACATTGCTGTTTCAATTGGGTATAGCCCAAAACAAATTCATAAACTGACCAAAAAACAAATAAAGAAAACATCCATATTGTTAACAGTGATAAAACAAAAAAAAACAACTGGAATGCATATCTTTCCATCCCATACACTAACAAATGGAATGAAGAATCATAGACAGTCTCTTTCTGAACCTTTAATAAGCTCCAAAATCCGTTTTCCATAAAAAATACAGCACAGGATATTTGTCATAAAACAGGAGTGTACAAAATAACCTGATATGACGGTGATAAATTTTACATTGGACAAACTGGCAGACCAAACAGTTCACACACACACACACACACACACAGGGATGTTTTTTTTACATTAAAAGATTTAGTGAATACCCTCTTAAGAAAACATAAATGTAGGTTGTAATATTACCTGTCAAAGTCCTTCTTCTTCCTCCTGAACCATGATTCTTGAACCTCTCCCTCATCACCCTCAAGCCGATCCGCAGATTCTGTTTCTCTGTCATTTTTATCTGATTGACAAAAAAAAAGTAAATAATTAGAAAGTTATTTTAAATGTACCTTATTCAAGTTGGGTTGACTGATGACCACCAGTGATATAGGTAACATCCTGGATGAATGGGACCATAGTTTTTTAGCAATTTCCTAATTAGGGAATAGCCTATGATATTACAATATTGTAGGTCTCATGGTATTGGTAAGACCTAGACCCAAGACCAATATACTGTACTTTTTAGTTTTGATGTCCCCAGATGCCAAAAAACCATCTGTTCAAATTCATATAGGCTATACGTGTCTGTTAGCAAGACAACTCAAGCAAGATAATTTGTTTTGATTAAATTTGATACAAAGAGCAAACTTAGGTTTATTGAAACAAGTTTCCAAACCAGCATGATCGGACTATGAGAACGGGGTTTCATGGGGGTAAAAATTGGGGTTTCTCATTTTGACCATCTAAACATGTTATTATCAATCAATCATTGAGATGGGTACGCCACCTAGGTATGTATTTTAATCCAAATATGAGTGAAGGATGAGTGTAGAGTGGTGTGTGATGATCTGTGTAGCTTTGTTAGGTACTGACTAAGATCAGCGGTTTCATTAGTCACGATCATTGATTTAAAGCCCAATGATCAGGAACAGCTGGGTCCAGTTTCAAACCATCAAAAAGCTACTGACTTTTCTCAGGATCGAACCGGCGACCTTTTGATTACCAGGCGAGCACTATAACCATAACCACTCAGCTACCCAGCCGTTGAGCTTAAGAGAGGAAATAATTTAGTACTGTATGTTGAAGTGTTGTTGTAAGCTCAATGGTTTTTGACAAAATTCAAAAAATGTCACTTTATTTGTTGTATGTTAATTTTATGGAGTAAAAGTAAACTGTTGTAGTTTACTCATTAAATGGATATATTTTGATCAAAAAAACAAACTTTACTACCTTCCCTGGAGCTCCCAACCGAGCCCAGGGATCACCTAAGTACTAGAGTATAGCCTACATTTTGATACAGTGATTTAAAAGCTGTAGGCCCTATCCCCAAAGAGTAATCCCAAAGTGTCCTCAAAAAGGATATTACGAAGATTGTAAAAAATCTATTTGTGCAAAAACTTTTTCTGGCTACTGGTTGAAAACAAGATGATAATAACCTCTATCTCTAACACCTTGTTTTGTTCAAAACAAAATGATTTTAAAATTACATTAAAAAACATATGTCAAGTAGCCTACTAAACTAAAAAGTATATAGATTTTCTTGACAAATTTTGAAAGCAACATCAGACAAACATTTTCTACTGTCATGCTGTTAAAAGCTTTGGCCAATGGTTGTGTGTCTGAAAAGCATGCAGGAGTGCCCAGAGGTGACTATGGTTTCACATGACATGTAATCTTGTTTGTAAGACTAGACCCAGTTTGTAAATAAGCCAGATGAGCCTTGGCCCAGGGGCACAGAGTATGAATACAGTACTTTGCCCTTCAATATGGCTGAAGAGAATTCCATGTTTATGGGATGCAATTAGTTGCCCTCTTAAAGTAATCCTCCTAATTCGCCAGATAGATTTTGCTATAGTTTTTTCATGTTTGAAATAACTTCCTGATACTTCAATGGCTTGTCAAAAATTCCGTACAGTAGGCACAATCTGAAAATTATTTATAGTTTACTTAGATTGACTATTCTATCAGCAGAGTAGGCTATAAATCAGCAAAATAAAAGGGGCCAAATTTCTCCAAATTGCTTGGTCATGGACACTCCTGAAAGCAAAAGTGACAAAATAATAGGCCTACTAAGAGATGGTGGAAAACTAGTACAATGCCGAGTGCAATTTATTTTTATGTTTAAATATAGGCCTACATTTAATAATCCTTTACAGCATGGTATAACTTAACTTTTTTGTTTGGTAAAAAAAAACTAAACTAAAACTAAACGTTTTCTTGTTTTTTTTTTGTTTTTTTTTTTTAGATGTATGATTGATATACATGTGTATATTTTTCTAAGGTCATAGTGATGCATTACCCCAAAGATACCCATCAAGGTGGATCAGTGGCAACACTCGATTTCCATTTTTACAGCATACCAATACCCATGCTTGATGGGTAAAAAAGAGCTTAAAAATAATTTCACCTAGTGTAGCTTCTTCAGCAATATTCTTTAGTGTAGGCCTAAGTATATCCATCCATATCATTTGAAATTTTATTTAAAAAAACTATTTAGGGCCCAGATAGTCTAATTAAGGCGAATCCATCTTGATAATCACACCCTTAATTGGCTTAACGTAACCCTGCACCAAAACATTATCAAACCTCATGAAATTTAAGACACAGCTTTTGACTAGACATTTTGTCTTCAACACTTGAAACGAGACTTGGAAAAGGCTATAGATTCTATGGGTAGGCCTAAACTTTTCCTCAGTGATTTGAATATGACAACAAGGCTGTCAAGAATTTAGAATCACTAAATAAAAAAAAGTGATAGTGTTTAATAGAGGCTAACTCTGGTTTCAGAGGGACTTTTACACTACGGTAGTGCTTCCTCTTAAAACCAATATAGCACGGATAATATGATGCCATCAACAAGGTTAATTTATAATTATGTGGCTTGTAATTTAAGACAATGTAATGAAACAAATCATATGTACAATGGGTATCTGTCAAAATGAAAAAAATTAGGACAGTCTTTGGTTAACTTATAACTTGTTGTGGGTAGTATTATTGCCGAGAAACTTATTGGATAAGGTCTACCTAATGGATAATTATCTCTTAAGAGATCATGTTAGATTTTGGATTAGCCTTTTTAAATTACCGTATTGGGATGAATCTCACTTGCAAAAATGTATGGGTTCAGCAACCTTTTGATTAGCATTATAATGATAATATGGACCTGTCTTATTCAATATTGCATCCATTAACATACGAACAAAAGGTACTTTATTACTATTTTACCTTCTGTTCTAGATTTCTGTTGATTGACACGGAAGACATGTCTTTTTGTTTCAGTTAAAAATAAAGATACTGTACAATTATATTGGTAAAATTTAAACGACAATTTTCCCGCCTTCTGTCTAAATCTAAACTAAATCCTATCCAATGTTCAGTAGGAGTAGGAGTAGACAGTAGACTATTGGGTGATTTTCATTATATCAACACAAACTCACAACACATAGCTTTTAAATACAATATCACTTATTGTTATCTTATATTAGAGTTACCTACTCAAAATTACTTTTGAGCTAGAATCTGAAACTATTATTGCTGTATGGATCCTAACCTTAACCTATGTTTGATTGTTTTTTGTTTTGTTTGTTTTGTTTGGAATTTGGATTGGATTGGATCATTGGATGATGAGGCCTAAGTCTAAAGAGGTTGAGGTTAGATTTTTTTCCCTTTTTTCAACATGCTTAACCAGTAGCACTTAGTAGTCATGTAGCATATAGATATAATGTTATATAGATTTTTATTGGTAATGTTTATTTTTACAACAATACAGGTGGTATGATAATTACGTCTCACAGTGGTTAATACATTCAGTGGGTGTAGAGCTTTTCGACAAACAATTATAGTAAATTTATCACTAAAATCTTTTTTTATTATTTTTCAATCTAAACATAAAGCCACACCAAAGTTGACAACCAGATTGTCGACTAGTTTCGGAAACTTGTTGCTTTTTCTACAAAATGCAGCAACTTTTTCTGTCGTCAACTATTGGAGCAACAAGTTTTCCACTAAATTTTGGTTTCCCGTGGAGAGTCGGTAAGATCAAAGAAAGTTGACAACAAAAAGTTGAAGACTAGTTGCTACGCGCTTTGCGCAAGCAACTTGTTGAAAACTAGTGGAGAACTATTCCCCTTCCCATATTGTACACATATTGTAAATGTGTATTATTGAATTATTATAATAGGGCAAAATGTTACGGTAGCTATCTTTCTAACTTATTTAAATATCTTAATTATGCCTAATAACTCTGGATGTGTACAGAGCTACAGACCACGCCCGTGGTCTGATTTTGATTAAAATTTGTATGTAGGTACTACATATAAATCTCAAATCTCAATAATATCTCCAGGTATTTTAGAACTTTTTTGAGATTTTGATTTTTAATGGTGATTTTCCCATAAAAAGACGGAAAATTTGATTTTGACGGAAATGGCCGAAACGACTTTAATAAAGATTTAGTATGTTGTAGCCACCCTTGAATTACTACCTTTGAGGTCCTTGTAGTTCTAAACAATATACAGTTGTGCAGCCCCCCACTATTGCTGCAGCCTGATGATTGCTGTAAAAGTTACGATTCCAAAGTTAAAATGTGACTTTTGTAATTTTACCTAATATCATAGTAACATAGTTACTAAATACCTATTAAATATCATTACTACTCTAATCACTTATCCATGATAACGGTTGTTGACAAGCTAATGGGAGATAGTATGTGTCAGATTGCTGATTCAATAATGTAACTAAAGCTAGTAAACATTATTTTCTGTTTAGGAATGTTGCACCTTCTTCGTCCGACGACATCCTTGACACACTGTACTGATTATTACGCGCCTATTCTTTGGCAACAAGTTTTCCACTAGTTGCTCTAAATTACCCATGTAGCACAGATGGTTGGGCCAACGTTGGCCAACTGTGGGACAGTTGGTCGATGGTTGGTTGGAGCTTCCACAACCAACCAACCGTTGTCCAACTGTATATCTCGTAGTTGGGCCAACCAATATTTACAACTGTGGACCAACATTGGTTCATTGTTAATGAAATACATTAATATGCATTGCTGGGTATCATACATCAAGCCAACCGTTGTCCAACCGTTTTTCACTCCGTTGGACCAACGGTCCATAGTTGAGTTTACACGACTTTCATTCTCTGGGTCTAGCTTTCACAACATAATTATAATAAAATATCTGGTTTTACAATACCTTTATCAGTTCCAAAAGTTTTTGGAACTGATAAAGGTATTGTAAAACCAGATATTTTATATATTACAGTTCCGGCGCTACAACAATGAATTTTAATAATTTTAATAATGCAAATATTTTTTAAATTAATATTCTTTAACTTATTTGCAACAACTTAAGAGGAAAGAGTAATTAATCATATAACAGGCAATTATAATAGCATTAACAATCTAACGGTAATTAATTAATCATTCAAATACCAGTATCCTCTCTAACTCCAAAAAAAAAAACTACTTATGATGCCTTAACAGATTAACAGAATCATATTATACTGTGTAGTATCAAAAATGTTTGAAGTATTGCGACCATTGCAACTGTCGGCTACTCTTTCACCACTTGAAAACTCTCTATATCAGCAATCACAGATAGCTCAGTGGTAAAGTAAGAGGCTCATAAGTCGAAGGACCCGGGTTCGAGACCCGTCTGGGCCAAAAAAATTTTGTTCTAGTTTTTTTTCAAAATTTGTTTTTATGAACTATTTAATCAATTTACTCAACTAATAATTATGCTTTTCGTACTAAATCTTTATTATTTTGTGTGAAATAAAACGGTTGGACAATGGTTGGCTGGAAAACAGTTTAAAGAGGTGACATTTCTACCGTTGGCCAACTGTGTGGCTCCACAATTTACCAACGTTGGCCCAACCATCTGTGCTACATGGGTAGTGAGGAGCAACATTTAGTTGTCAACTTTTAGTTGCCAACTTTTGGTTGTAAACTTTTGGTTGTCAACTTTGGTGTAAACGCGGCTTAAAGTTGGCTAGTAACATCACACAGAACTAGGCCAGATATCTACTATCTTCAGAATATACTATTTAACACAAAGTAGCCAAAAGTAGCTTTCGCATCCCATTGTAAAGTCTGAAGCTTGTTTTCTATGTCTGGTTTATGTTGGTAACGCTAAGCGATAGTGTCACCGAAATTTAGTTTATCTTATTATTTTAGGGCCAATTTTATGATTTTTTCTTTACTTCTTGGTTATAACACCAAAGAATTATTGTTTGTAACCATACCGTTTTATTAAACCAAACTAGGTTTTTAGGCCCCTCTGGTGCAAGTAGGCCTAGAGTTAAATATTTAGAAGGCAGAGTCATTAGATTATTTTTGGATTCAGCGTGAAAAATACTGTAAGTGGACATCTAAAAATTACACGATATCAAAATTTACATATATCAAATATTTGCCACCTTTGGGTAACGGGAACTTTTGGATGTCCGCTCCCTCTAGGATTAACACAGGCATAAACATGGGCAAAAGGGTTTAAAGTTGGTACTATCCTGACAGAATCGGGCGGGACGAATGGCAACACACTGCCATAAGGAAGGTCCATGCCCCTTCCTCTGATCATTGTACGGAATATTACACATCTAACTTCTTTGAAAGTAGAAAGTTAAGAGTTTTAATTTTAAAATACCCCATTTGTATAAAGCTATGTCTATTTAGTTTATAAATATCTTGATTCACAACTGGGTGCAATGGTGAGGTGTGACATTACACACATCCCTCTATATTACAGACAGACAAGTATTTTTATATTAGAAAACTGAGATTTATAGTACTACTACTACACATCCCCAAACGTTTACTGTACCCATAAAAAATTCAAACCCTAAAAGTGTTCCCAAACTATGAAAATTTAGAGACTAAACCAACCACTAATATGTTGGCTGAGCTATCACAGAGGTGTTTTGTCTTAAATATACAGAAAAATACTGGTATACCCCTTATAATTGTCAGGAGTCACCATACTGTAAGCATTTTATAACTTCTATATCTGTAGTTAACCAAAATTTTATGTCTAATTATGTAACTTCATGGCTTCTCTTGTTGAAATGGATATTACTTAGGTGGGACTTGTAATTAAGCATCACATTGTCCCAGTACAAAATACCATCTTGTAAAGGATTATTATAAAGTGATAGGTAGCGTGTTTGCACGCCTAGTTTCCATTTTGATCGAACCTGTGTTTATGATGGCTTGGATGGCACTAGAAAATCTGTGGAATCAACATATAAATATATAATATTAAACTATGTTAAAAGAAATATCAAGAATAAGATATAATATACATATTAGTACATGTAATGAATATTTTAATAATAATGAAGGTAAAAAATGTAAAATTATATTCATATATTAGAGCAGTTGTATTGAAATGGTATAGTAATGTGTGGACAATGTTTACCGTACTCCTATGAGTAAATTGTTTACATAGACAAGTTGACAGCTTATTAGGTAGGCCTATACTGTAGCCTACATAATATCCAATACACTTTTAAACGGCAATAGATACACAAATTCAAGGTGAAATTTTTCAACCTCTCTTTTCTTTAGATATTAGACATTAGAATCTTGATATTGCGACCTAAACTAGCTGTGGTAAGGTCGGATAAGTGGAAAGGAGGAGTAACACAAAAAAATAATAATCAAACCCACAGTAAAAATGTTAAAATTAATTATTTATAAAGAGTAAACCCTGTTCTAGGCTTTGATTACAACATAGGCCTATAAACCATAATAATCACTTATGAAGTAAACACCGGTTGTGTAACAACAATAGCAACTAAGATGTTAGAAGTAGTTAGGGTAGGGATAAAGATTTGACAAATTGTCTGGTACGCATTGTCATAAAGCCCTTGGCTCATAGAACATCTTGAGTATGGACAAGAGCAGAAAAAGGTTTTTTTTTTACTGGATACAAATTACAGTCATACCACACACAAATATCATACAATTTCTTGGTATTCAGGGAAGGTCAAATCAGAGAAAATGCAAGATAATCTAGACTCTAATAGGACAAGAAAGTTGGCTTTACCAACATTTTAAGGGTAATGAACTGCTGAATATCAATCTACCTAGAAAGAAAACAGTGTTGATCATTAAACAACAAATATTAAATATATAAATTAAAATAACAACAAAATAGAAAATAGTTACTTTTCCCATCTTGGTTGTTTCCTTGTTCTTCTCCCTCAGGTTCAATGTCCTCAGCTTGCGTGATCCAATCCAAATATCCTCTCAAGTCTTCTTCTATTTGTTGTTTTTCTCTAAGTTTATGGAAATCACCTCTTGCTTTGGCCTTTTCTCTTTCTTTGGAAAATTCTCTTTGGAAAAAGAAGATTTCTATTTTAGTAACACCATAAACTTTACCATATTATCAAGACTCATACATCAATGTAAAAATAATTGCATTACAGGTGTTGTAATACAATTGTTTTATGGTATTAACCAGTAAATCTATAATGGACTCTAGTGCAGTACCTATTAATTATTGGTCCACTGAAAAAAAATATATATATATATTATTCTATAATGGGCAAATGGGAATCTTTGCCTGGGGGTTTGAGGGAATAAAATAATATTTGATATTTATGTATAAGGAGGACCATGGAACTCCCCAGAAGAATATTATAGAAACACTTCTGACCAAGCACATAATATAGATCTTTTTTCTTCCAAATAGTAATTTAGCTCAGAATCTTTTCAAAACTCACAATTTTTTACAAAACTCGAGTCTACGCACAGACCACTGAGGTGTAGACTCATTTCCAATTAATTAATTATTACTAGCCGAAGAAGATATATTTCAATTAGAACTTAAGTTTATACAATTAATAACTTTTTAAATTTAACTTTACCTAATTTTGTATAAACAATTTATGTAATGCTTCTAGATCTTTGTATTTTACTAGTTGTTGTAACATTAATTCTTTTTGTACTTATTGTGGAAATAAATCTGATTTGATTTGATTTGAGTTCTTAGGCTGCTCAAAAGCAAGAATTCTCCTTCTTAAATGTGTGTTTTTTGTTTTTTTTTTTAAAGAGGATGGCGGCCTCTTTTAACCTTCCATTTTCCCGTCCACATGGACTAATCTACAATCAGCACACATAGACTGGATATGTAAGATCCAGCAAAGAAAGGGTTAAGCCGGTAAAGTACAAGGGTGACCGGTACTGATTAAAAGTAATGGCAGTGACTAGGATCCGAACCCACGACATCGCTGCCTCACGACGTCACGTCTGAGCCACCAACACACCAATATACAACAAATGCAATTAATTTGTTATTATTTAATTTTGTATGTTTACAATATACTCATTTGTCTCGTCAATCTGTATGCAGCTTTAAGGAGTTTATCAAATCAGTGTTGAAAATTGAAAACTAGAGTTACTAAATATGATACACTGGGTTAATAAACTAGTAGGGTTTGCAGTCATTTAAGAGATAAAGACCTTAGACTTTCTTCTTATTTGCAGTTTGGGCACGCAACTATTTTTATGATCTTGTAGTGATATTTTATATTTTTTAAATACACATTTGTGTATTTGTATCTAGTGAAAGTCCTTTACTAGATACTAATGCAAACTTTTAATAACAAACCTATTATGACAGGGAGCTGTTTTATGCATAACTAATGCTATGAATGCGTTTTAAAATCAGGTATGCTCTACCCTGTTGTAATATAACTCACAACATACTCAAGAAAACTACGCTAAAGTAGCTATACTAATATTAATTCTTGTTTGAACAAAGAATATTTTAAAAGATAGTTACCCGCTCAAGACACCAAGAATTAGGTTCATGACGAAAAAAGCACCCAGGATAACCATTGAAATGAAGTAAATCCATTGCCAAGTATTTCCCAGTGCATCTTCTATCTGCAAAAGAAAACATTAGACTGCTTCAAATCAAAGTATAGTAACTGTAGCGAAAACTTTGAATAACAACTGAAACTGTAATGGACTTGTTATTGTTAGTAATTTGTTATTATTTTGTAATAAGTTAGTTGGATATAAAAAGTGGGACAAGAGCTTGCCATTTTATTGTCCGCTAACAAATTTTGGTTATTAAATTATTGCAAAGAACAATATAATCGTTGTGGTACTGGATGGAAATTGTAAACATAACTATTATACAGATACAGGGTGACAATTAAGTCTGGAACCACTTTATTAACTTTTAAACCACAATATAAAAAAAATACCAAAGTAAACACATGCTTACTGGTGATGGTAATGCACACATCTGCCCAATTACCCCTTTGGCGGAATCCGAACTCAAATCCGAAATCCGAACTCAAATGGACAACCAAGTCAAAAACGGTAGCCGTTCAAATATTTCTTTAATCTGCCATTTTGAATCTTTGAACGGCTGCCATTTTTTACCCAGCTGATATTTTGATCTCAAATTTGAAAGAATTATATTCTACTAATAAAGATCTTTAATGTGATGTGCATATCGAACTGCTTAAGTTTATGATTTTCATCCCGCTTCTAGGCCTCACAAGTATTTAATCATTGCAAATTCAAGGACTATTTGACCAGCTGTCATTTTTGACTCCATTGTCCGTTTGAGTTTGTGGCATTGTATTTTATTAACGGAGACCGTTAATTTGATACCAGCTTGACCTATGCCGCTATTTAAGAATTTTGTCTGAATCCTTGTGGACGTCCCCCAAAGGGGTTATCCGGTTGGTAATTGGGCAGATGTGTGTGTTACAATCACCAGTAAGTACCGTACGTGTGAACTTTGGTATTTTTTTCTATTGTGGTTTAAAAATTTAAAAGAGATGTTCCAGGCTTAATTGTAACCCTGAATGAAAAGTAAGCAGTATACCTTACATATCCTGTATTTATCTATGTACTTTATTTATCTTTCAGTATTTTCTTATTTTTCTTAAGTATGATTAAAATAGTATAAAAGACCAAAATGTTTCTACCAATTGCAGGTATCTTAGTCTTGAAGTGAATAAGTTTGCATAACTGAGTTTAATATTTTAAACAGTGGTTTCCAACTTGATGGGGTCCGGACTATTTAACCTGACAGTAACAGTATCGCAGAAAACCATTTGCTATATCTCTAAACAATTTTTAAATATATTTAAATACAATAAAAAGAATCCTTATATATAATTCTGTAAGACAACATTTTTACCAGAAAATTGTGAACGTCTGGTAAGTCGCAGAAAAATGGGAGGGGTCTTAAATTAAAGGTCTTGATTCCAGGGACTCGGGAAAAATAGCAGAATTCCCATAAAGTTGCTAGAAAACGAGATATAACGTAAAATGTTTTCCATAAGAATAGCATTAGAAGCCATTTACTGCTGATTTTTGTTTACTTCAATACAGCTGATCAGCTGATCGTAAATTTATCATCAAGCAATGTTAACATTGGATTACTACTTATTTGCCAGTCAATTCTGCAAGACTGCAATGTACTATATAAAACCAGGGATACCGTTACCTATAATATAAGACTTTTTAGTTACGTTATAGAATGTGAAAATAAATTATTTTACTGTGAAACTTTTCAAATTTGTGTATTTTTTACGTTTAACATGAAATAACCACATTGACTAAATAATAACGATTCAAGATTAAAAATGGAAAACTTTGCTTTGTTTTTATTTGAAAACATATGTTCTTGATTTATCCTACATTTTCTTTATTTTAAATTTGAGATTTATTGTAGTGTTTATTCAATATTTTTTATGAAGTGGAATAACCTCAACGTCCACTCTTAGAAAATAACCTGGGAATAAAGATGGAATGGGTAGGAAATTTATATTTTTTTATTAAGTTAGTACTATGACAAGCTCCAATGGGAGGAAAACAATATTGTTTGGAGATTTTAAACAGGTAATGTCTGTTGCTTGCAAAAGAGTTAAGAATCAACTGATTTAGGCCTAATTCGATAGAATATGTTACACTCCAATCGCACCTGTAAGAGGAATACCATCCCATAAACTTACACTAATAATTGTGGTTTTTTTATGTTGATCAGAAAAACAAATCTAGGGTTTGGTCAATGAGATGCCTTTACTTTACACTAATGTTGTTAAACCTTAACAAAAGGACTATACACTTAGAAATATTAACTGGGTAGGGATGCTAATTTAGCTGTTTTGGGCAAGAACTAAGCTTACCTAAACACACCTTTAATTCCCCTTTCATATTTGACGTGGACAATTTCCAAAATTCCAATCAGGGAAGTCTTTTTTATCACCAATAACCACAAGACCAAAACTACCTTAAACGGTTAAAAATATGTAGTGATTCGAATGATTTATTGAAAATAACATCAACAAAGGCAAATAAAAATAAACAACAGACTGATTTTACACAAAATATATGGCTTACAGGGATATCTATTTTGACACATAGATAGATGATACATTTCTCAGTTTGTTTAAATGATAATATTAGAGTCATTTGTTACATATTATTGAGCTTTTTAGGGACTTATGTCCCTACAAGCCACTAGTATATTAATAAAGACATAATGTTTATTTTTACAATATTTGAACATAATGTACATTTTTATCATAAACTTTTAATATAAAATCTCCTCATTGCACAGCATTTTTTTAGAAAGTTGTGAATACAAATACAGTTATACAGTTTGTTGTTTTGTAGCAATGATTTCAGTCTGAATTTGAAGGTGGGACATTTATTTGAACTAATCAACACGTTTATTATGTTTTATTTGTCATATACATTTATTTTAATTTAATTTAATTCCATTAAAAAATTATTTCTCACCTTCAAGTGTCCTGTGGACCACCTGTTGGGAACCATTGTCTTTAGTAAAGAAAAAAAGAGGAGTGGACATTTTTAGCTATGGAAAAAGTTTTATTTATGTCAGTGTTTTAATAACACAAAACAGTTTGTACAAAATAATGTTCTACTGATGGTGTGGAAAATTGCAATTATATTTCGTACATTTTATTACACCACAATAATAAGTGCTAATATTCTTCTATTTGCATTCAGTTATACTTACATTATATAAAACATCAGTCCACCCTTCAAGGGTAATACACTGGAAAACAGTTAGCATAGCTAATCCAAAATTATCAAAATTTGTAATTCCAAAGTTTGGACCGTCCCAACCATCATGACAAACCATGTCATCTCCATAGAAGGAACATTGGAAGCCTGAGGCTCCTGGGTCAGCACATGGATGAGGTTTGTCCATTATTTTACCTGAAAAATATTTAAATGTTCAAAGAAGATCAATGTATTTAATGATTGAGTAAAAATAAGGTAGAAGATGTATGTACATTTAATTTAAATCAATTACAAAAAATTACCCCTATATCATTGATATGCTTTGTCAAATTCAACTTTAGGATTACCGGTGCACAGTAAAAAAAAAGAAAAACTTTTAAATATGAGTTACACGAATATAAAAAATAGAGGAAATGATTATTCTTAAAGATTTAACATGCTTATTTTTCATTTGATGTTGGAGCAGGCTTGTTAATTTTATTGTTAAAATATAGGCAAAAAGGTAAACAATTGGTTCTTTTAAAATCAATGAATCCTAATGTTTTTTTATTCTTGAAATAAAAATTAAAATTAATGCCAACAGACGAGTGTGCAGCTGAACAAAATTAAGGTCCTAAAAATCAGGAGAAAAGAGTTAGAAGAGGGAATTCCTATTGAAAAAATCGATTAGCAAAGAACTATTAGATTTATCACCCTATGTATAAGAAGGGTCCAGCAATTCGCCAGTTAAGCTTTTATTTATTTGCTGCCTTTGTTTAATCAACTGCATAAGATTTCTTGGAAGAGTTGGGGTTTTTAGTTAGGACGCATCCTGGTGAGGGAGCCCTCCACCAGGTGTGAGGGGACTTAAGACTTACATAGATTAAGTGTCTACATAGATTTTATTTCGTGGTTCAAGAGTGTGCTCACTCGGTCTATGAAATTCATGTATCCAAATAAATCACAAAAATAATTGCTGGTGAAAATGAATTGTTTGCCAAATCTAAGTTATTTCTGGATCTGGTAGATAAATTATCAATAAATGTTACAATTAAAAATAAATTACCTTAGTTTAGCCCAACATCTTTTTATTTTATAAAATTACCTGTTGTCTTGTTGTAACATGCTTTGTGCAATTTTCCAGAGAACATTTCCAAACCAATAATTGCATAAATAATAATAACAAAAATTACTAGTAGAGCAATGTGTAATAAAGGCACCATGGCACGAAGAATAGAGTTTAACACTACTTGTAAACCTGGAAAAACATACGTAAATTAATAATAATTCACTGTTGAGGTGTCATAATATAAACATATGGCTACGTTATTCACAAATTTATAATACGATTGTAAAAGTGTAAAAAAAACAAAAGACTGTAAAATTCACGTGAAACCTTTTAGAATCCAAGGAAACATGGAACTACTTCATATTTGTTATCAGGCTGCAATCGGGTCCTAAAAATATACAAATAATAAATAAATAATTGTATAAAACATTTTTTGCCAAATTGTATTTGTTATATTTTATTACTATTGCGATATATTAAGATGGCCCCCACATTTAATTGTGGGCCCTGTTACCAGGAACTGGCTCGGGCCCCCCTACCAACCGGGGGGTCGGGGGGGTATGGAATACCCCCCAGCGTAGAGGGGGGGTCCGGAAAATTTTGAAAATGTCATGTATTTTAGTGAGTTTTTAAGGCAATCTAGGTATTAAATTTGTGAGTGGTAAATGGCACTTTTGCAGCCTTTTTTAAGGAAGAAAAGAGTTCTTTAATGAGTTTTATAAGACTTAAAATTACAGGAATTCAGCAATTAAAACTATTATATCAATACACAAAAGCTCCATGCCTATTAATATTTTGTCCTTTTTATTTCCCTGTAAGAGGGTTTGGCTATCTTAACTGCTATAATTGTACTTTGTAATATGGAGTAGGAAAAAACTTACGTAAATTGAGTTTAACAGCTTACACCAATGAAATCATATTTTATTCAGTGACAATTTTCATCAAGAATTTTAACAATACTACATTTTTTGGGAGTGGATGCCTGAGCTGCCGAACTTGCGCCGAGTAGTCACGGAGAAAAACAAATGTGCACGAGTAATGCCGAGAATGACCGATGCTATCCAATCCATGCTTTAGTACAGTATTATACCGAGCAAATTGGGAAGAAAACTTAGGTCAAAATTATTAGGCCTACAATCTTTCATATTTTTAAAACTCCAAAAGTAAAGAATTTTTAAGTTTGTGTCAAATAACCTAGATTGCAATAATTATTAATTGAAATATTCCATACATAAAAGTGCAACCGGGACCAAATGTTGATAAAACAGGACAAATAAGCGTCCCGAGAGGATTTGTCGGGACGGACCAGTCCCCCTAAAACGGGACGTCTGGTCACCTTAGCTATGGTACATAGTACATGTCAATTTTTCAATGCTTTACAAATTTTATTTTAACTTATAACTATAAGGATTCATTCTTGAAACTATCAGTTCAATTATAAAACCAAACTTTGTTTATTATGGGGAGAATGAGGTAGGAGTGGCTAGGCGCCTGGCGGGAGGAAGGGGTAGAGGGAGTTTGTGGAGCCGGCCACTGGGGCCCGAGCTGGCTGTTCTGCTGTTGTATAGTACATACGCACCTACGCACCTATAGAATTTAAATATAGACTTCCTTAGAATCAAGAATTAATACATTTTAAATTATTTAACTTTGTTTTTTTAAAATATTTAAATATTATTTTTTTATCTTCAATTTATGAGCTGTAAAGTGATCTTCAATGGGGAAAAAAATAAAAAACAAATGGGTAGGCCCGGGCCCCCTGAGGGCCCGGGCCCTGTGACTAGAGTTGCGCCAGCCCCACCCTTGTGGGGGCCATGAAATGGTATCATTCTGAATGTGTGCAAATAAGTTGCGAAGAGTACAATTATATGAGTTTATTAGGTAAGAAGTCCAAGTGGGCTTGTAGTGCATGTGAGGTTAGGTTTGAAAAAGTCATTGAGAAGGCTGAAGATGTAGAAGAAATTAAGTCAAGTATTTTGAATTTACTTAAAATTGTTAACAAAGTTGTATCTGATAATGCTTTCATCAACAACAAACTAGATTTATCCATGTATCCAGGGGCGTGGCATTGTTTGTGCGCAATGAACTAACCTGTATACCTTTGGACCTGAGTAACTTTTCTATTGAAGTGCAAGGTGAATTTGCAGCTGTAGCAATACATGAACTATCTCTTGTTGTTGTTACCATGTACAGGTCACCAAGTGGTAGTATTGTCACTTTCTTAAGACTTCTGAACCAATGTCTTTATTATCTCACCACTCTTGGTCTCTCTGTGGTTATTGGAACTGACCATAACATAGATTAACTAAAGCCTACAAGTGGAGGCTCGTGATTTTTTAAACCTACTACATAGTTTCAATATATATAGTAGTATTATTGAGCCAACAAGAGGTAAAGCATCTCTGGACACATTCTTAACCAACTTTGACTGCTGGAACTATCGTGCTTGGGTTAGCAGAGACCAGATTGCTGACCATCAACATGTCATCCTAAGTTTGTCTACTGGACCTAAATTTGACTTGAATGGGGAGGAACTGTTAGCTGGTAAACTTAGTTTTAAGGTTAGCTTTAGTTTACTCAGCCCATCAAATGTTAAGGCATTTCACGATGTGTTGAAATCATATCAGAATTTATGGAATGAATCTCTGGCCTATCTTCCAGCTTATATGGCATTTACATATTTTTTTGACAACATTAAGTATGCTTTGGACTCTTGTGTCCCACTCAAAACAAAGATAACTGATAGTAGGCCTACTCAAAACAATAAAATTGAGAAGTCTGTAAACTGGTACAATCCAGAGTTGTCTAAGTTGAGAGATCAAGTAATCCTAGTTAGCGATATTTCAAAAAGTAACCCTGCTCTCATACCTTATTTAAGGAGTTTGAGGACTGATTATAAAATAAAAGTAAAAGAGGCAAAACAAGCTTACCTTGCCTCATCTATCTCACAGGCACCTAATCCCTGTAAAGCAGCTTGGGATTTTATTAAGGGAACTAGGACTAAGTCAGCTCCTGTTAGTTGTGAATTTGCTAAAGCAGAGGATTTTAATGAATATTTCCTTAACTCTGTGGAGGAACTTGTAAACAGCTGTAGCACTGTAAATAATATTTCACAAGAGGCTAACCCCAATGTAGACAGTACTGGATGTAACCTGGAAAAGGTTCCTTTGGTTCCCTTCGACTTTTCTTGGAAGCCTGTTACTGCCCTTAACATAATTAAAATTGTTCACAGTTTCAAGCAATCTAAAAGTAAAGATTACTTTGATATGTCAACTGATCTGCTAAAAGGTTTTGTCCACTATGTTGCAAATCACCTTGCAAATGTGATCAATGCTTGTTTGAAAGAGGGAATTTTTCCTGATGCAATGAAAATATCCAGGGTAGTCCCAGTGTTTAAGAAAGGAGCCCATGACAATGTCAGTAGTTATAGGCCTATTGCTATTTTTCCCCATATTTGCCAAAGTGTTTGAAGCTGTTATGCTAGAACAGTTGTACGAGCACTTTGAGGACCATCGCCTGCTTGTGCCAGCTCAGTTTGGTTTTAGGAGGGGCAGGTCTACTGTCTCGGCAGTGGACTCCCTTCTCCAGACTGTGCTCAACTCACTCGAAAATAGATTAAATGTCTCAGTTTTGCTTTGTGACCTTTCACGAGCATTTGATTGTGTTTCACAAAATATCCTAATCCTGAAGCTGGAAAGATATGGCGTACGCGGCGATGCACTCAAGGTGCTCAGATCCTATCTTAGCAATAGACAACAGGTAGTATCTTGGAGAGGTAGAAACTCCTCTCTTTTGTCTGTGAATCATGGTGTTCCTCAAGGCTCCATTTTGGGCCCATTTCTGTTCCTTGTGTCTATTAATGACTTGTACTACCATGTGTCTGGTAGAGCCATATTTTATGCTGATGACACTACCCTGTTTGCCAAGGATCCCATCCTCAGTATTTCTAGATCGAAGGTTGAAAGCCTTCTTGTCATGGCCACCTCATGGTTCAATGATAACAAACTTGTTTTGAATGAGTCCAAAACCCAATCAATGACCTTCAGTCTGGACATGGCATGTGAAAAGACTGGACCTGTGAAGTTATTGGGCTTCACTCTGGACCCACACCTCACCTGGGGAGACCACATAGAGTCGGTGTGCGGTAGGCTGAGCAGGGTCATATTCCTGCTCAGAAGACTGAGTACTGACTTGTCTGGGGAATTCATTCGAGCCTCTTATTTTGCTTTTTTCCACTCCATCATTATTTACGGAACCAGGCTCTGGGGCCATTCTTCTGGTGTAAGTAAAATCCTAGTATTGCAAAAGGAGGCTGTCAGGGTGCTGAGTGGAGCCCAGTACCTGGAACACTGCTGTCCTCTGTTCCAACAAAACCACATCACGACTGTATATAATGTATATATCTTTCAATGTCTTTTAGAAATTAAGGCAAATGAAGTGCACCTTTTGAGAAACAACCAAGTACACAACTATGCCACAAGAAATTGTTTAAATGTTTTTGCACATAGACACAGGCTGGGCAGAACAATTAAATGCTTCCCTGTTTCAGGTTACAGATTTTTCAACCATCTACCAGTAGCCATAACGGACTTGCCTATTTCAAGGTTCAAGGCAGTAATGAAGGACTGGTTGATAGAAAACCCTTTTCATGACCTGTCTGAATTTTATAAAGTAGGACTACCAGTATTGTTATAGGTAATGCTCATGCACTGACTGCCTTGCATGGCTATTTTCTTGCCTGTTTTTATTTTTGCATGGTTTTGCTACAGTTTTGTTTTGCATGGTTTTATTTCTCCTTATTATTATTTTTATCTAACTTGCATTTTATTTGTGAATCAAGAGACTATTTATTATTTACTTTGTATTGTATTGTATTGTATTGACTTAGCCTGTTGCTTTGCTTAATGGCCAAATAAATCATTGAATCATTGAATCAGAGTGAGAGAACTCCAAGACTTATAAGGATCAAGATTCATTTGATCGGCTGGCGCGGCGTGTAGCTGGTCACTTCTCTCTCACTTCTATCCCCTTCTAAGCTAAACTCGCTCTGGTCTAGCCAACCTATTGGTACAATTAAACTTAGTCGTCGTCCCCATTTCGGACATTACCAGTAAGTAATCCGATGTTACATATAGTATATTTTTAATTTTCTATTATTATTGCAGCTGCTTTATTGTTATTTCTTTTTAGTGGATGGAAATTATTGGCTGGCTATGACAGTTCCAAGCTAGATAGGTTAAACCCTTCACAAGACTGTTAAGTAATATTACTAGTTGTTTCTTGATTTAAAAATAATTCTTGGTGTAGACTTATTAATGTATACTACCGCATTTTGATTAAATATATTGTTAGGGGACGGGCGAAACAGCTCATGTCCATCGTTACTCCTATAATTCATATCCATTAAATTATTGGTACAGAACATATTTTATTTTTGTCAAATTGAAGTGATTAGGTGACGGGCCTTGTCGTTATCCGTCCCGTCTTCTGGTCCTTTATGTAGTACAATAAAACCAGTCTAATTCACTTAAAATTGATTTAATCGGGATCTCTTCCCCACCCCCCACGTCACACCCGGGTGAAACATCTCAGGGAAGCCCAGTATAGTTGTTAGTCGTGAAATTAATTTCCTTTATGGTTATTCTTTATTTACGATTTATCGGCTTTTATTAAAAGGTGAAGTAACCTTTTAGTGAGGAGTAATTTTATTTTGTGAGCGTAAGTAACGCCCAAGCAGTAGTTGTAGTTCACAGCTAACCTACGGTTATTATAGGTAAGGTGACGTGTGATTGATTACCTTGTCAAACCAACTTAAATTGTAATGAAACACGACAGGGGGTTAATTGGCTTTAATTTGGGCAATGATGATGACCAATAATTGACTGAGTGAATTATAAAATTGTATGTTCTGAGCCCAGCCAATTAACAAATTAAATTAAATTGAACCCTGGACACACCCGCGACTTGTAGCAGATCCGAGGCTTATAAGGTGTAGATTTTATCCCCTAGGAATGAATACATTACAGTTTTTTTTTTTTATTTACATCCTAGGATTCTAGACGATTGGCTCCAGTCTACAACTTTTGTACACATCACTTTATGTTAGAACTAAAGGGTCTTAACATTATCACATAGTTACAACTATTGGCGATTGGCAGGATTTTAACCTTTTACTTTGTGAACCGAAGCCCTAGCTGCTCAACCAACAGACCAGCTCTCCTTTTAAAATTTAAACCTCAGAACCAATGCTGCAACTAATAGAATTGGTAGCCATAGCACATACTAAAAAAAATGTACAGAAAGTATTCCTTTACTTACTCGGTACTCCAGAAACTAATCTTAGAGGCCTCAAAACCCTGAAGGCTCTCAAAGCTTTGACATCGAAGCCTTCCTTCATCACGCTCTGGAGTACTGTGCTTAACATTCTGGGAAATGAAAATAATTAACTTTAACACGTGTGATGTAATATCAATTTTCAATCTACAAATGCAAATAAGAACTCATTTCAAAATCAATGCACGGTCAATATACATGTATTGAACACAATAATCAAATAACCTTAAACTAACTGGATTACTCAACCTCAACCACAAATTATTGTATGGATATTTTTCAGGTTTTTGGTTTAGATTACATTTAAACTAAAAATTTCTGTATATATAGGCTACTAGTTTTATAAATAATAAAAAATATAATAGTTTGCTTAGGAAAACTAACAACGAAACATATAATAGGAATAGGCACTCCAGTATTAATATTTTCAGCTAAGCAACCAGAGTAGGTCTGGGGAGGTTGATTTGCGCTCATTAAATCATTTAATCAACAAGTTTAGAATAAATAAATAATGATTCAAGAAGCTTACCATACTACCAATAACTCATAAATGAAATGTATGAGACTTTAGTATCTGTTTAAAGTATTTTTTTTTTTTATCTAAGTGCAAAAAAATACTCAATTTGAGCAAATTTAATCAAGAAGGGGTCCCAAAACAGAACCTTTAGGAGTGTCCCACATACAACATTTCTAACCCAGTAGGACACTGGTCATTTAATAGAAACATTTTTGCTGGGCTGATAGCTGATATTTCTATTAGACCTAAGGGTAATGTATTTTACTTTGAGTTGTTAGGATAAAAATGCTTTGACTTTTCCCAATAGACATTATTAAGTGAATAACAAGTAATGGTTTTAATAACATATATTTGTGAGTTAGCCAAATAATATTAAAAAAGGTTCAAATACCTGCTAGTAGGCAATCCAATGTTGTTGTAAACACAACTAGTTTCGGTGCCTGTGTGGCGCCATCATCAGGCTGTACAAGGACGGTTTTCTTTCCTCATACGAAGAGCGTCATATTGTTTACACGAAAATAATAAATAGACATAAGAACACGACACAAACACGAATATGAGACATTTATGGTAACTGATCAGTTACCATAAATGTCTCGTATTCGTGTTTATTTTATTATTTTTATTTTTGTGTAAACAATATGACGCTCTTCGTATTAAGAAAGAAAAGGGTCCTTGTACAGCCTGATGATGGCGCCACACAGGCACCGAAACTAGTTGTGTTTACAACATTGGATTGCTTAATAGCAGGTATCTATATAATTAATACGCTACATGAAACTTTGTCGGTTGAACTCTTCCGCCATTTCTTTGCTGATTTTATCCATTGACGTCTCATTGGAAAGAGCGTGTCGCGTAGATTTGCAAACTGGCCTTACATTTTTGAAAAAGTCCCTTGGGCTCTGCCCCAGTGGCTTTGAAAGTTCCCATGTTATCCTTATGAAGAACATAATTGTTTACATTTTGATCAGCTGTATAATTTAATTGCTGTTATTTATCTTTCAATTCATTGAAACACATTGAGTACATTTATTTACTATTTCAGTTTGTGTAAACATAACTTCCAAGACGGATCGTGTTAGTATGGTTGTATCTTAAATTTGCGTATTTATTGTTGTTTTTTGTCGCTATGGCGGATCGTGTTAGCATGACTGTAACTTAAATTTGTGCATTTATCGTTGTTTTGTGTAGCTATAATTAGTTTATTTGTTGTTTTTTTCTTCTTTTAAATGCTTTCGACGTGACGACAATGAAACATAGACAGGAGGCATAATCGTGATAACGACCGCAGCTACAGAACAGTGGAGTGGGACAGTCAGCACCTGACCCTGGACAATCTCAACTATTAGGTTACAAATGTGTCCTAACACTACCCCAAAACGACTTTTTGTTCTCAATTGGCCCTCTATCAATGACCTGTGTTGCCTGTACAGCGAAGCAATTTGAGAAGGAGAAAACCAGCCGGAATGTTTTAGGTTTATCAATAACGAAGATAAACATGGACAACCTTATATGGCTATAAGTCAGGAAATGTTTGTAGAAAACATTAAAAAGCAATACCAGGTTATGAAATATGATACAATATTTACAGGAAATGTTAATTACTGTTATATACATCGTGAGTATCTCCATGAGTTACACACCGGTAATCTTTGAATTGACTCTTTAAACTCATTGTAAATATGACTGTTATTCGTTTTGAAATAACTCCTGTAATACTTTGTAATTGCTCGAATTCGAGCAACATGTACACTAGTTTGAACCTATTTTAATATTATTTGGCAATCCAGAGGCTAACACCTACAATGAAGTTAATCGTCTGTTTTCATTTTTACATCAATTTAAAAATATTAATACATTTCAAAAGTTAATAAATAAATAATGCCTTGATTGAAATCGGTCTTCAGTAAAAAAATAACTGGTTTTCAAGACAACCCAAGTCACAAACAATATATTTTATGTATACAATAATTACAAACAGTACAGACAGTAAGTGACACTAAATATAAATTAAACCTAATATATTGAATAATAAAACAATATTATTACATAACTGTCAGCTTTTTAAGTCAAAACTAAACTATTAAAATAAAAAAAAAAGATATCAATAACCCGTAATATTGTTATAAAGATTTGAAGTATTGGTATATGAGCAGCACGAAAACACGAATCACCTAAATTTATTGAAGTGCTATGAATTTTTTAATACTTGTTAACAGATGCTTGGTTAATTTCTTTGGCTTTTTCAGTGATAAAAATAACTCTTTTAGGTTGTATTACGCTTTAAAATAATAATAAAACTTATTGAGGTTTCGTACATCAAAAACAGTTTTAGGAATAATATTTTTAGTCTTTAATTTGTTGTCTCTGGTACAACGATAAAACCCTATGCTGTATTATGTTTCAAAGAGAAAATATTTTGCATTTTTGTTTGCAGTTTTTAAAATAGTCCATTTTTGCATGAATTCTGTTTAATATTGATGATATGCATCGTCAAAATATCATACTTGGAAAACGTAATACTTTAACCTACGTGAAAACGATAATTTACATGTTACCTTGCTTTATTCAGTTATATCCTAACAAAATGATCCCGAAAAATCTCTAATTTTGTCTGGGAAGTGAAAAAAAGGAACTAATATTTAGATAAACAAAATCAGGGTTTTTTTTAAACGCAACCCAAATTACGAGTACACATACAATTACCAAGAGTCCCTGTTTAAGGACCAAAGACGCTTATAAAATGGTAGCCCCGTATCCATTACTAAATTGCCAATTAGCTTATATGCATTGTTGCATTGATTCCTACACAGTTTGGTATTACAGTGATTTATTTATTGGGAATCAGACTCAAGGTGTTTTCCCAGCAAGCTCAGAGAGATAATTTTTGCATTGTAGGCCTAGGCCTTTTGTTTTCTACAGATCTAGTTCCTAAATTTCTAACAAGTACAATATACTGTATAATTTAGGTATTTTATACTGGAATGACACAGTACCTGGAAACATAATTTAAAATATTTCTTGGCATAAGACCAATATAGTAATTTGCTTTTGATGTATTTGTACTGCAATACATACATACTGTTTGAGCTAGCAAAAACACCATGTTGAGTCTTATTTTAAAATAAATTTTCAAAAGACTAAACATTGTAGATATAAATGCAAAAAATCATAAAAGCTGATTGGTAATAAAGTAATTTACAAAATTATAAGCTAGAGTTTTGTCCCTAAGTAGTGTTTCACGGTTCTTATGATTTGGTTTGCGTTAAAACTAAACACCCTGTTTAGACGAGACAGTCTAGTCAATGTAATAGTAATCCTCGATTATTACGAAGGTATTATAGTATGGATAGTCTAATTAATTGTCTATTACATTGTAATCAGTGGAAACTACATTATATTTCCCAGATTTTTATAATATCTTCTTATTCTTCTGGCCGTGTATCACTTGCCATCATGAAATTAAAATGATAGAACAATTGGACATTATTTACAAACACCATTACAAATCATTCATTATTCTTAGATTAAATTATATTTAATGCAATATACTGTATATACATTCATAAAGTACGTATAACCTTTACAATTTGAATATTTGTAACCACTCACAATTTTTGAGATGTTATGATTTAAAATAATACGGTGTTTACAAAGTATAGATGTGATTATTCACATTGTTATTGATTAAACCATCAATTTAAAGACTGTAAAGAGTAAATTAACTAACCTAAAACCGCCCTACCATTAATCTTTCAGGAATTCAGGAACTCGAAAGAGACGAAGAGACTGATAATTAAAACAAATACTTTTATGCAAAATCTGATACCTTATGTGATTCTATGATTGAATTTATAGTTACTCATTAAATAAGTAACTATATAGACTATTATTAAGTAACTATGACATATTATTAACATGCACTGTTCAATAATAATTAATTAACACTAAACTATACCAGAATACCTCTTCTTCCAGTAAGGGAGGGTATACCTTAAACTTATATATTTCAACAGCTATTATTGCAATGCATTATTACTTATGAAATACATTTACTATTGTTACTTACCCTATGACTACTATTGTAAAATCTAACAAGTTCCATCCGTTTCTCAAGTATGCACCGGAATGAGCAACAAACCCATAAGCTACTATCTTCATTACACATTCTACAGTAAATATCACTAGGAAAATGTATTCAATCTTTTCCTGCAACAAGATCATAATACATTAGTACATAGGTAATGGGAACGATCCCTTGAAGCATAGATTAAACGCGATATGTCATAAACATGATATACTAGGTTAAAAAGAGCTCTACAAGTTGTATATATACTAATAGTCAGTACCGGGTATGCCACTAAGCAAACAAGAGCCACAGCGTTTTGTAAAAAAAATTTTGAACATAAATGAAATTTAAGTTCCTAAATATTAAATTCCTAATTTTCCACAATTACAGGAAGTTTTCACGATTTCACGGTGATTACAGGGAAGTTACACAGGGGCCGCTCGGGTTCATTTGGCCTAAGTAGGCCTACCCAAAAACCGGTCTACTGCTAATAGTAAAGGTATTCGGATTGAGTAACCATTAAAGTTGTGCTGTCTTTTTAGATAAAAATGAAATTTTCTGCAAATTGGCGAAACTGTTGTTACCGGTAAAAGTCGGTGGTGAAGTTTTGGGAACCTGCAACGCCAATGTAGTGAAACTACTGTTAAAGTTCAAAGTTTTCTAAAACGAAAATAAAACTTGAAGGTATTCTTCCACAATATGTACACAATACGTGATTCCATATAACATACATAACTAGCAAATGTAATAATTAACAAACTAATTATAACTAAGAATATTTTAGATTTAACATTATCTCACTTAAAGTATATTCTAAACCAATTGTTTTATAACAATTATAACAACTTGAACAGTACTTGGCAATGTACACTTTTTGTGTCACAATCAGAAAAGGTTTATCATAATGTGATACAAATAAAGTATCAGTAAATAGTACAAAACTAACGTATTCCTATAATAGCGTTTAGTGTATTGATAGTGTGTGTATTTTGATTGAAAAGCTCAATCTACTGCTTGGTAAACAATTTACTGATTGTACATAATAAAACTAAAGTAGTGCAAGTATCATCTGTTCTGTTGGCACTACTATATTGTGAAAATATCTAGTATAATTTCAGACATATAAGAACAATTTTGTTACAGTTAAACAGCTAAAAATGTTTACTGTTAACCTTTTAAGAGGACAAAACAAACTTTGGTATAGGCTAGTACAAAATATTTCCTGCAAGTGTTGAATATGTAAGAGTGAGTTTTGAGTTATTGCTTGGAACGACACGTATCTTTGCGAGACATCTTTCACCAAGATGGATATTTTATGAAGATTCTCTTTACCTAGTTCAGCTCATGCCAACACTGTAGATGTAATGTGTTTTAATTGATTTTACCGAATGTGCTCTACAAATTACGTGTTTTAAATATTTAATTATTCTAAGTATAAACTGCATTACATTTAATGTATTTCATATCTGATTTTTATCGATGGTCTAATCAGTATTGCTTTTGAAAGTATGTAATCGTTATCACGTTTTCGACAGCTTAGCTGACAAAATGTTAGAATGCGTCATAGAGCCAAATTGCACTCTTACAGTTATCTAATTAAATCTCAAAGCTCTTTAACAGCGTAACACTTATGATCGGTATATTATTTATAGTTTTTAAAATGCATACAATTTAATAGTATTTTACTTAATCTGCCTATGAAACTAATAAATATCTAATAAAATAATAGTCAACACGATACTAAAACGGAAAATTTAGAAAATACATTTCACAATATATGCTTTTACTGTTGAAGGCAAATAGATTCGAAATATTTTTGTATGTAAAATATATAGCCCACCGATATATATGAAGTGAATGGTATATGAAATTGAAAGTTATGCTTAATCTGACTATTTTTGCGTATTATATTATAACTATTCACTATGACTAGAATATTATAACTATTCACGTCGTATTATAATATTCTCAGATATGTATCTTACCAAACAAACGAGAATCTCTAAGGCGTCTCCCAATTTGTGTCTGTAACGCGATTGCTAATCAAGAATTCGAAACTAATAATTAATTGTGGTCCGTTAAAAATTTTCGACTGCAATTCATTGATTATTTTAATCGATTTAGATACATTATTTTCATAACGCTAACAATAATTTAAACAATTCCCTGCAGTTTTGTATGATAATTGTTGCATCAGAAACTGAAAACGGCCACCATCTATACTTACCTCATGAAATCTAACGTATCATATAAGTGTGAACAACTTACCAAATAAGCGTTTGTGCTGTTCGAGTCACTATTAGGGTAAGGGGTGTATACTGCCAGTGCCACACAGTTGGCAAAAATTGTGAATAGAATCAACCATTCGAACGGTCTGTTCCTGTTAAGGAAAACTTATCAATAAAAACCTATTGCATTCATTTACACTTTAAGCTAGGAGTTAATTATTTGTAAAATCATAATTTACCTAGTTTAGAATAAATAACAATGAATATTAGCCATCACCCATTAGCCACATAATATTAAACCATGTATAGTTATAGCTTATTTTCAATAGCTCTACAAACGTTACGATTTTTTAAAGTTTCTATATCAAATTTACAATAATTTCAGACATATATGTATACAGGGTGTCCCACGACAGGTGTCTCAAATTGATTACGGAAAAACGGCTTAACCTACAAGGATGAAATAAAATTATTTTCCACTAAATCGACCCCAAGAAATAACGTAAAAATATTTTTCCGATACAGGGTGTGCCGAAAACTGAGGGTCACTAGTTCGAAACTCGGAATTTTCAAATGTAAACATATGTCATATTATACATAATTTTAAAGGTATTTATTATACAAACATTTTGGCGAAAACAGAATTTAATAATCTTATTCCGTTTCAAAATGGCGGCAGTTTTTGAAGAAAAAATCAATATGTTTTTAATGCTCTGTTTCCTGTACCAATGCACATAGCACTTCTCCGGTTGAATTTTCTTACTTGTTATGATATTAGCTTTACTTTGATATGCTACAATAAAAGTTTTTTGAAATGAAAAAGAAATAAAAAAATATATTTTTGAAAATGTGCAAATGCCCATTGTTCAAAATGTTCATATCTTAAAAGACACATAATTTTATACGTCTTTTGTACAACTTTGTAATTTACGCTTACTTCGTATCTCTTTTAGTTTTTGTGTAAATAACAAAAAAACAAATTTTCCTATATCAAATGCATGTTATTTGGGTTTAACACACATTTTTTCTGAAATGGTGCCATTAGTGTTAATCTCAAATAACATGCATTTGATATAGGAAAATTGGGGTTTTAGTTATTTATACAAAAACTAAAAGAGATACGAAGTAAGTGTAAATTACAAAGTTGTTCAGAATTAAAAAAAAACTTATAAAATGATGTGCCTTTTGACATATGTTTCTATTTGAAAATTTTGAACGATGGGCATTTGAAAATTTTCAAAAATATTTTTTTTAGTTTTTGTCATTTCAAAAAACCTTTACTTGTAGAATATCAGAGTAAAGCTAATTTCATAACAAGTAAGAAAATTTAACCGGAGAAGTGCTAAGTGCATTGGTATAGGAAACTTAGAGTTTTAAAACATATTGATTTTTCACACCGTTTTGAAACGGAATAAGATAATTAATTTATGTTTTCGTCAAAATGTTTGACTAATAAATACCTTTAAAATTACGTATAACATGAAATATGTTTACATATGAAAATTCCGAGATTCGAACTAGTGACCCTCAGTTTTTGGCACCCCTGTATCGGAAAAAAGTTAAAAAAATTTTACGTTATTCTTGGGGTCCAATTAGTGGAATATAATTTTATTTCATCCTTGTAGGTTAAGCCGTTTTCCGTAATCAATTTGAGACACCTCTCGTGGAACACTCTGTATAAACGGTTAAACACATAAACATTAGTACCCTTTTAATAAATTGTAATTATCAATTATATTTAGTAGCCCTAATCCCAATAATATCCATTACATATATAGCATAAATTGATATATATGTAAAATACTGCTTCCCTTATTACACTTAAAAGCTAAATAATTATGTAGTCGCGAAGAGAAAATATAAGTATCTAACCTAGTAACATTGACACCAAGATTTCTTTTCGTTAAAAGTGTGTTTTTACGGAAAGAAAAAATATGGTATTAACACACTGCAATAAACTGGCCACGTTTTGTTAAAACAATTTAAAATTGCTTCATTGCTGTCCAACATTGTACTCGTTTGCTCCACCAAACTTGCATGTGGTTCAGATGAAAATAACAGCACAACGGAATGAATTTTAATACTTAACTGTCATGTTACCTACTCTATAAACTGTTGTGGAACTTAGCAGGTGACTTTCCAAATAATTGAGCTGTTCCTGAGCTAAAGCACAGTTTAATTACATATCGAGATAATAACCAGTAAAGACTATGTAAGTAAACAATTCATTGAAAATTGTTTTAGTTTGGTAATAAACGTTATATTCAAACAGTGTCAATGCTTAATTATTATTTTGAGTTTGATTTCGAATTTAGTTGATACAAGAGTTATTCCCATATCACTCAGGCTTACAGCTAGAGCCAACTTTGATCAAAAGATTCACTGAAATAAATTCAGACTCTGATCCTACTATAAAAGAATTTTCTAAAATTATATAAATACTTAATAGAAAACGTTTGTTGTACATACACTCTTACAGGTCATAAAATATTTGGAAATACAAATGTAAATCCGATTGCTTTCTATAGAAAGTAACAAAAAATGGAACTTAAAATCAATTAATAACTTACGATTCAATAAGAACAACCCTTAATACATCGTGATCGTATATCTTAATATTCTTCTTAAAACTGTGAAAACGACTTACATAGGAGTACAATTTTTAAGGCACCTAGGCAGCAGAATTATGAAAGAAGACAACTTTAGTAAGTTCATAAATGAACTAAAAGGTTATTTATGAAGAACCCTAGATATTTCCTATAGGATATGTGTATATCAATTAAAGATACAAGTAGATATTAATGTTTGATGCCAGTATACAAAAATGTACCTTATAGTTACAGAATTTGACCTCACTTGATGGTCATCTGATAAACATTTTAATTGGTTAGTCCGGCAGAATTGACCCGAACCTGGTTTTGTCCTATTAAGTTTTTTTTATTGTTGATATGTAATATCTAGGGTAAGTAGACCCTAAAACCACCGGGTACTTTTTTGGTACCCTTGGGCAACAGCCGCCATCTTGGAAAATGACGGGAAACGTAAATTTCAGTGTAAGCTTTTACTTAAACCAATGTAATAAAAAAAACTATTTAAGATGGAACAATGCATGTTATTGTCAAATGTTTATGGTTAAATTCCCTACTCAGAAATACCATATATTAAATATATATAATTTGTTTTAAGGTCAGTATTACTTGTCAAAGTTTATAATTTATAAAAAAATAATATCATATTTATTTTTATTTCAATTTTGCGCCTTAATTACTCAAAATATGACTATAATATACATTATAAAGTTTGTAGAGCTTTAAATTTGGCATCGAATACATCTATTGGATATTTGTTGGATCAATGGTAACGCCAGAAAAAAGCGTTAGAAAATAATTTTTTTATTGATTTTCAATGTAAAATAAGGATATTTTATATGTTCAATAAAATTGTAACATCCTTCCTGAGACCATCCGCCACTTCTCTCTGGCTGTTTTTGGTATTAAAATGTTTGTAAAATTATCAAATTTAATTTGAACTATTAACTGTGTATATTTAAGGACTTTAAGGCCGATCTATTCTTCTTCACTCCAAAGAAACAATATTTTTTCAAAAATAAAAGTTTAAATTTTGACCAACCCATTGAGTTATTATTATTAGATGTTGTATGTATTGCAATAAAAACACTCAGTAAACAATTGGCATCCATTTGACATGTAGATCACTGAAAACGAACGAGTCGGAGGTGAATTACAAGACTTCAACCAACAAAGATTTTAATGGTTGTATAATTTTCTTTGAAAAAAAGATTGTTACTCGAGTACTGATTATGCGATGTTATGTTAAAAAAAAAAAAAATACTCAGCAAACTACTGGCTTTCATTTGAGGCATTGGTAATTCAAATCTATCGGGTTTGAGGGGATTTATAGAACTTTAACCAAATAACATTCTAGTTTTCCAAGATTTGTCTTTAATTAAAGATATTATCTCAGGTTATAATTACGTTATATGAAATGTTATATACTATGAATACTCAGTGAGTTACTGGCTTTAATCCAAGCCATTGACTATTAAAATCGGCTGAGTTGAACATGAGTTGCGGACCCCAAACAATAAAAATTTGATTTTTTGACAATTTATCTTTGGTTAATGATTGTGTCTCGTGTTATTGTTACGTGATATTGTATGTTGTGGTATGGGAATACTCAGTGAGTTAATGCGGTACTTTTCAGCTATTATTTATTGCAATCTGACGTGTTTGGGGCAAGTTATAAGCTTAAACGTAGAATAAAAGTTGTTGTTTCTTAACTTCCTTCTGTATTTAAAGACATATTTCTCAGCTGCTATGTGTACTATGTTATTCGTTCTGATCTAAAAACACTAGGTCAACTTAGAACTTTCATTTGAGACAATTTTCATTTAAATATGTAGAGCTTAAGGTGAGTTGTAGACCTCTAACTAACATTAGGTTTTCAATTTTTAAGGACTCTCTTTTATTAAAGATCTTTATCTCAAGATCTAAATGAGCTGTGTTATTCATTTTGGTGAAGAAAACCTCAGTTAGCTATGGGTAAACTCAGATATGAACCTAACCTGGTTTATTCCTATCAAGTTTTTTTTTGTTGCGTTTGATATGCACCAGTGAACAGAATTGAAATATATGTAGTTGCGTGAACTCAGGCTTACCTTGCACAGTATTTTGTCATTGTGGATATAATACCTGTTTAAATAGAAAAATACAAATTCAAGACGTCAGTGAAGACTATGACAGTGTAGATTAATGAGTTAATACCCCCGCTGCAGCAAACCTGACGAATGAGCAAATTTCCATTTGCCTGGATTGATTTTCAATTTATCTATTAAATTTACATTTATGTTTGACGAGTACCTGGTTTGCTGCTAAAGGGAAACTAATAAAGAGTATTTTTTATTAAAATATTTCTTTATTTTTATAATTTTTTATAGCTTAGTATAGAATTAAACAAATCTGCCAAGTTTGATTAAAAATATATCCAAAAACAAGCCAACTAAAATATTTTACAATATTCTCCATGGGATTTTAAATGAACTATGTTTTAAATTTTCTATACATATATATAAATTTGAGCGAAAGAGTTTGTTTGGCCTCTGGGGACATCAAAATGGTGTAAATCGGTCCCGGGCTTAGGTCTTACCATGAGACCTACGGTAATAGCTACTTCCCTATAGAGAAATCGCTAATAGTCACTAAGGTTACTGAAACGTTATTTACAAGTTATTCCTACATGTAGGTCTATTATGTAAGTTACAATTTTATATGAATAAAATATTTATGTTACAATACAAAATAATAAAACTCAACTATGTTGAAATCGATTTTATTAATTTTGTTAACTTATCGTCTTTTTTCAATGTGACGCAAATACTAACAAGCATAGCCACAAGTGCTACGGGAATTCAGTTAACTTCATAATCGAGTATTATTATTACATGCCATAATAATGATGTAAAGAATGTGTCTTGCTAGTAACTTATAGAAGCTCAGGTTTAAATTGGCAAAACTTATATTTTGTTCGCTTATAGGTACCGGTAACACTAAAACAAGGTCGTATAACAAGTTTTTTTTTTCAATTGGGCAAAAAATTCAATTCTTAAAGATAAAAACCACGTTTTCCGCCGCCAGTTTGAAACAGCTTTGATATGGCTAATATCTGGTAAATTTATAAGTAACATTATAACGAGGTTTCATAAAAAATTTCATGATATTCGAACTAAAAACGCGTAGTTTATAGCTTAATTACCATGTTTTAAATTAATAGATTTATTTATTAATATGGACAATTATTATCTCAAATTATAGAAGTTGCCCAAAGGTACTTTGTAAGTACCCGCTATTTTCTGCATCTATATACTACCAAAATAAAATATCATCTTTACAAAACGTAATAGAACAAAACAGGGTTCAAGGAAAATTCCCTGTTTGGTTGCCGGACTATTCCCAATTTACAAATCCACAAATTACAAGAAAAATTATTGATTTATTGATTGATGATCTATATCTAAACATTTTTGAAACCCAATAACTAATATTTTCCATGAAAGCTAGTACGTTACCGACTGTGTTCATATAAATACATAAAACATAGCATAATAATCACCAAAGATATAGGGCTTTGATGAGACTTTTTTATAATTAAAATTACTCTTTTTGGGGGGTCCATAACTAGTTACATCCTATGATTTGAATTTTAATTAGCGTAAATGAAAGCCGTTGATTTATTGAGCATTTTGATACCAAAAACAGTAGAAAAGAACTAAAGATTATTCTTAGGAAGGATTATATAAATTATGTTCATGTATTAGATACCCCTAATTGTCATAGAAAAATTAAAAAAATAGTTATTTGTGTAACTAGTGGTGAAAGTGGCACTTTGCTGCACACGAGAGAGGCGAGTGCGGAATGATCTCGAGTGCAGCAAAGGCCTTTTTCACTCGTGTTACACATTATATTTTTCCTACAGTCACTATAAAGCATATAAATAATTAGTCTTTCAAACACTATACAACACGTTTTAGGTTCAGCAGCAACACAAATGGTACCCTAGAGAAAGTAGTACCCGCGGTCCGTATCACTCCGCTAATTTTCCTCGGCAAGAAATGTGCTCCGCGTTTTGAGAATATAGTTCCGTATGTTTTTGCAATTTGAAGTGGTTTCCGCGCCTAAAAAAATTCTTTAAAGGTATTTTTTTTGTTTATTAAGTACGTAGAAATGTTTTAAAAACGTTTAAAAGAAAAGTCCAGAAAGTTCAGAAATACCGAAACTATAAACACGAAATGACAGGTTAAATCGTAGTTATAATAGTCAATCAGCTGCTCATAGTATTATTATCTTTAAGTGTTGCCAACCTATTTCCAAGCGTACACGGATTACGTCACATTACGTGCATAATAGAACCACGCTGTTTTGTGTTGTTTCGTTGGAATCCTGTTGTGCGGCAAAGTATAAACCGTACGACAAAGTATAAACCGTACGGCAAAGTATAAATATACAGCAATTAGCAGCTTTCTGTACTATAAACAGTACAAGGAAGCCAACTTTGTCGGGTGACTGTAGGAAAAAGTTATTTTTTACACATTGTTGTAAAGTTATCATTGATCCAACAAAGATCCCTAGGTGCATTGGATGCACAATTTTAAGATCTACAACTTTTGTTACATGTATCATGGCCTTTTTTCAAAGATTTTAGCACAAAGATGAAAAAAGTAGGGATAGAACATATTTTTATCTAAATTATTAACTTTAAAAAGAAATACTGGCCTTAAAACACAAAATATTTAATTAAAATATGATATTTTCCTGCATGGAATTTCAGTGTGAGTATTGTAAAAGCGTTTGCACTGCTGTAGATAGCATGTTATTTTGATAACAGCGTTTAAAGTAAAAGCTTACACTGTAAATTACGTTTTCCGCCATTTTCCAAGATGGCGGCTATTGCCCAAGGGTACCAAAAAAGTACCCGGTGGTTTTATGGTCTAGATACCCTATATAACTCAAAACAACAATAAAAAAAAACTTAATAGAACAAACACCGAGGTGAGAGTATAAAAGTTGATTTTTCTATATTTAAAAATAGCAATTGTTGTTATTAAATCTTTTTGTAACAACTATATGAAATATTATAGATTCTTGCAAAAATGATTGAAGTTACCTACACCTTTTTGAATTAAAAATAACAAACCAGAAATAAGCTGTGCATGTTTAGAATCCGCGAGAACCTAAGTGAGACAACTGTGCTATTGATTGTAACCACACTTTCCTCTTCCATCCACTCATTGCGTCAAATATCAATTTTGCCAACTCGAACGTATGATATTACTACTAGTACCTCCTATTCTACGTTATCTTTGAAAAGGATACTTCCATTCGACTACGTCTATACACATTTTCCGCACTGGGTTCTTAAGGGTGAGGCAGAGGAGGGCTCTTTGCGGCCGTTCTGGGGGAGGTTTCACCCCTCTCCTGACCGGCCGCTTGGGCGTCTGCTTGTTGGCATTGTTGTTGTTATTGTTGTTGTTGTTGTTGTTGTTGACCGCACTCATGGCTGTGGCGCTCAGTGCCGTCTGCCAAGCAGTAGACAGGGGCTTGCCGTTGCCGTTGCCGTTGTCCGACAACTCATAGTGTACACCCGATGTGACAGCTGAAACAAGACAACAATCTGTAAAACACGTCTGTAAACACACACAACAATGGACAAACCAAGACAACAATTAATAGGTTGTCTAGGAAGCCTAGTGTTCATAGTGATCGCTTCCAAATCGGAAGGTCGCTGGTTTGATTCTAAGACTACTCTGGACCCAAATGCCATTTTTTATTGGGCTATTAATTAATGAAAGTTGGGCTTTTGATTACCATCACACTGTTACTACAATGTCTTAGACCGTCCCTTACAACAAAATTTAAAATGTCAATGGTGCAAATGAACACGAATAAAATAAAAGATCTATTAAAAATTAAAAATAAAACAATAAAGACATCAAAGTATGTATAAAGATATAAACATAAAAAGATAAAAATATAAAATTGGTTACATAATTGCACATTTAGGAGCTTTGTGGATTTCGTCAATTCCGTGAAAAATAATGATATTGTTGAAGCTCACGCCTGAATGAAACCAGTTAATTAATAATATGTAACATTTTTGTTCTAAGTATTGAAAAATCATGTTATTCTGTATGAATTAAGGTTTTCAAAGTAAATCATTACATTTGAGATAAGAGCGATGCTTTAAAAAGTAAAGTCATATTATTTCTGTCGTTTCCTTTCAATAATTACTGGGGTGTTATTGCGGTGGAAACAAATCGCCAAACCCCAGAATTAAAAAAAATCTCAGTCAAAGATAAGCACTTAAACTACAATATTTGTGTGTTTAATAACAACGTTAAATATTTTTTAGTTTTTTTTGCTGTTGACGATTATTCCTAAGTAGGCTATGTATTTATACTCCGCAGTTTTAGAAATGAAACGACAACATAGAGAATATATACAAACATTATGTTTTGTGTGATTGTTGAAACACTTTGAAAATTTAATAGATTTGTTGAGAACCAAATAAAACAGTTCAAAAGAATGTCAAACCTCTATTAATACATTAACGAGTACTTAGGTTTGCTGCTACAGGAAAGGAAAAGGGGGTTTCCCCTAAAATATTAATAGTATACTGTAGTATGTAGTATGGAACACTATTTGGTAAGTTGTTATATAGTGCCACAGACTTGCCCAAGGCCTCTTGGGGGTTCGGATCCTAGTACCTGCCACTACTTTGTAACAACTCTCGTACAGTACACTCCCCCTTATAGGCCTACTGTAACGGCTTACCCCTTGCTCTGCTGGATACGTTCCACTCACGCACGGTCCTATGTGGATAGGCAAATACAAGGCAAAGGAGACCGTCAGCCTCTTAAAATAAAAGTAAAATAAATAAATTTGACCAATAATGTTATCAAAATATAAACAAAATATGTTTTTGGTCCCTGCATATGTCGGTCCCAAGACTAGGTCTTACACCGTGCCACTTACGGTAACAGCTACTTCCATATAGGGAATTTCACTAATACATAAATCGTCTACATCATTCTTACGGCCGGTCAATTCCTCTAATGTTTGTAGAATAACACTGAGTTTTATGTAGTAACATATGCCAAAAGTCATAAGACCCATACAGCATTAAGCAAATGTACCCTGTCTAATATAACCTTTTCTGCTTTCCCATCCAGAAGACATCTACTGACGACCACCATCAATGTGGATGAAAATCGTTTCACTTTCACACTTGATCGTCTTCATCAGGACCACTCGTGCCAGGATATATTCTCAACGACATTCAAACGTATTTTAAATTACTGGATGTCGACGTTGTTCTTTTTGTGTCATATTCTTACCCCTATCTGATCTTAAAATCTTTTCAAATTTAAAATGTTTACTGAAGTCGCGTTGCAATCATTACTTTATCTTAAACATTTAATAGTGGTTGAGGGTTTTAACGGTTATTAAATTAAATCTTATCTGGATTCTGGTTATATTAAAATATATTCGCTAAAATCACTCACTGCGAAAGCAATTTTACTTCAATCGCTTAAATCACTACCTCAGAACAACTATCATATCCCGGCCCAAAGTTTTGATTGTTGCGTTGATTTCTGCCATATAATTTATTTCAAACCCCCATTTTGATGTTCCATTTTGCCGAGTGAAACTTTAAAATAGCTGATATAAATAGGTAATTAGAATGTAGGATGTAGAATGGATATTATTTTACGTAACATGAACGGCTGGTATTAATTCATGGATTTTCACCGAGCTCAGTTATATAATCATTGTTAATAAATGTACCGAATAAATACGTAGAACCATAAACATGGTGTACATAATATATTATGTAAATATAAAATGATAAAAATGAAAATAATTCATGTAACCAAGAACGATTTTGGGTTGAAATCGCTGCGATTAGCTGGGAGTGAGATTTTCCACCAATACAGTTTTATCTGGCAGATATCTGGCAGTGCCAATTGACTAACTGGGCTGTCGGTTCATAGTTAGCACCTGTCATGACCACAGCGTGTATAATTTACTGGTGGACTCGGGGAAATAATCGAGTTAATCTAGCACCTCTGAGCCTCATGCCATGGGCTGCATTATTGTGCAATGGTCAAAGTGCAAAATATAACAATAATTTAAAACAAAGATAAATCTTACCCTGCATATGCTTCTATAATTTTGCATTAAATCATAATGGCTAAATCACGTTAGTTATTTTAAGCCATATTTATGCTAAATCGAGTATCATTGCAGTAAGGTTAAGCTATATAAAGTTTTATTAATAACTACTAGCCTTAATAAATGATAAAAATTTCAAAACAAATTAAAAACAAAAATTGTTTAAAGATGTTCAGGGTCTTTTATTATGGAGAGCGTAGCTTTAAAATAGCTAAAGCACTCTAAAAATGTATAAAAAAATAGTAAATATTATCAAAATTACCTAGAGAAACACGCACCTTCTATAGTAATGTTCAAATGTAAAAATTCCTATTTTTCCAACTGGCTGATTAATCACGATTCCTAAAATCAATATCGTAAAGTTTAAACAACGTTTGCAATAAATAGCTCCTTAGAGTCGTTGTAAAAAGAGGGTTGGCAAAAGTTTTACTTCAAGGGTAGTAGATTTCATTTACCTATTTGCATAAATACAGTCGATCCTTTTAAAGGGCTGGAACATACTTTTGTGTATTCAAGTATATTACTTTTTTTTATTATAAAAGTTAATTTCTTCCCTTGAATTTTAAAACTTAACCTACCGCTACCGCTTACATCAAATAGGTAATTCACTAAAGCCACCAAGTCAAAACGGTAATATACAAATGTCGCATATTAGTCATTGATGTAGAAAAATAACAATGATATGTAGTATTAAAACGGCAACCATTTGGTTTTTAACGGCTGTATTTACACATATTCAAAAATCATTTATTTTTTATTTTTATGATTTCAAAACACCGTCACTTGTAGCACATCACAGTAAAGCTAATTTCATAACGAGTGAGAAAATTCAACCGGAGATGGGCTAGGTGCATTGGTATAGGAAACACAGAGTATTAAAAAAATATTGATTTCCTCCAAAAAATTGCCCACCATTTTGAAACGGAAAAGATAATTGATTTCTGTTTTCGCCAAAATGTTTGTCTACACATAACTTTAAAATTATGTAAAACATGGCATATGTTTACATTTGGAAATTCCGAGATTCGAACTAGTGACCCTCAGTTTTTGGCACATCCTGTATCGGGAAAAGTTAAAAATATTTTTACGTTAATCCTTGGGGTCGATTTAGTGGGAAATAATTATTTGTCATCCTTGAACATTAAGCCGTTTTTTCGTAATCATTTTGAGACACCTTACGTGGGACACCCTGTATGAACTCATCATATATATATGTACATAAACATATATGAATTCGAACGGATGGTGTTTTTGACCTCTGGGGACATTAAAATGAATAAGTAAATCGGTCCCGAGTCGAGGCTTTATCATGAGACCTACGGCAATAGCTTACTATATGGGAAATTCACTAGTAAATGTTTCTTTTTAGGTATAAAACTTATGTAAATATGATGAAGTAAACATATCATCACCCTTAGCATATAATCACAAATACTTACCAACGGTGTAGCCTTAAATTCTGATATTGCGAATAAACGATACTATACACGTTATAAATGATCCAGAAGAGATAACATATTGCTCTAGGGTGAACATAATAACTCGCATAGAAATAAATAATAACCATCCACGTTCGGGTGTTCTCTTATATATGTACGAAACAAAACTGCATCACTTACTGCAGTCGTTAAACAAACTGAGCACAAGGTACGTATTTATTTTAGCTTCAAATGTATTACACCATGAAGTAGAATGTGTTTAAAAATACCCCCGCCGCAGCAAACCTGCAGACTAAGCGAATTTTCATTTGCCTGATTGGATCTACACTAAAATGTCTCCTTAAAAATATCACATTTATTCCCTATTTAAATAACACTAGTTTAATAAGTACTTAGGTTTGCTGCAACAGGGAGGGTAAAAAGGGGTGTTTTTTTTAAATATTAATAGTTTAGTATGAAATGAATGCATTTTCTAAATTTGATCAAAATATGTTCATAAACAAGCAAACAACAACAGTTTACTTATTCTCCATAGGAATAACATGGGAATTTTAAATTTACAGTTTTTTGGAATTTCCTCCGCAACTATTAGGCGCATAACCACGCTTCAATAGGCTATACCAAATTATTTGTTTTTTTAAGCTCTACAAAATAGTTTGGAAAGAAAATGCTAAATTTTAAGTGTTTAGGGTCAAAAATGGGAAAACAATTTTTACCCCATAAAACCCCCCATAAACCCCTGTTCCCATAGTCCGATCATGCTGGTTCGCTAACTCGTTCGAATAGACGTAGATTTACACGTTTGTACAAAACTTCATCAAAATCGGACGATTTTTGCTCGACTTATCGCGCTAACGGACACATATATAAATATAACATGGAAAAATTACTTACGCGAGTTTAATGTGATTACAGGCTTTATTGACTTTATTGAAGATACAGGCTAACATATCAATATATATATAGATATACAGGGTGTTTG